TTTTTTTTTTTTTTTTTTTTTTTGAGACAGGGTCTCTCTAAATAGCCCTGGGTGTCTTAGAACTTACTATGTAGACCAGGGTGGCTTTGAACTCCTAGAGCTCTTCCTGCCTCTGCCTCCCAGGTGCAGGGATTACAGCACACACAACTTGTCATAATATTTTAATGTCACCTGAGGTGAAGAGCAGAATAAAGCCACTGCCTCAGCACAACAGGCACGTCACCATGACTCATGCATCTGACCCATGACCAAAGCCCTAGAGGACACGCCTCTCTGACGGGAGTCCACCGTCAGCTGGGACATGGCGCAGACGGAGCGCTGACCTGTGTGGACAGACAGGTGTGCCTGACCCCTTACCACTGATATCCGCTGAGCACGCTTGCTTAACCAGAAAGCCACATCCGACCCCAGAAAAGTCAGAGCAATCAGAACTGATGCTTTTATCTCATGAATCAAGTTTACCAGTGATTTCATTCACTAAACAATGTTAGTTCCTTTGTAACAAATGGAGAAGGAGCCAAGTGGCCTCTGAGGAGGAGGAAGACAGAGGACCAGTGAGCATAACCTAGTCTGAGAACTGCTCAGGCTCAAGTGATCAAAGCCCCCCTTTACCCCCATACTCTCTGTTAAAGTGCTCCTCAGCACAGGCTGGGGATGGGGAGTTGTTCTATTTGTGTTCATGGAGGGTACACATGGAGACATTTGCTTGCAGGTGTGTGTATGGGGACCGGAAGTTGACTTTGACCTCCCTCCACTATTTTATTAACATATTTAATTTCATGTATATATCTGCCTGAATCCACCATGTTTGTGCCTGATGCCCATGGAGGCCAGAAGAGGGCATCAGATTTCCTGGAGCTAGGACTGCCCATGGCTGGGAGCCACCATGTGGATGCAGGCATAGAACCCGGGTCTGAGTGCTCTTAACTGCCAAGCCATCTCCAGCCCCTCACCATTACTCTTCACCCTGTTTTTTTTTTTTTCCCCCCGAGACAGGGTTTCTCTGTGGTTTTGGAGCCTGTCCTGGAACTAGCTCTTGTAGACCAGGCTGGTCTTGAACTCACAGAGATCCGCCTGCCTCTGCCTCCCAAGTGCTAGGATTAAAGGCGTGCGCCACTACCGCCCGGCTTCACCCTGTTTTTTTTGGAGGCAGAATCTGTTCACTGACTGGCCAGCAAACCCCAGGAGCCACCTGTCTCTCTGTGCCACCTCCTAAGTGCTGGGGTGTGCTACTGTGCCTGGCTAGCTCAAGGTTTCCAAGGTTCTCCCGTGTTGTAACATGTAAGCATTTCATTTTCTTTTAAATTGCCAGATGATTCCACTGCATGGATGATCAAAGTATAAATATTCCTCATTAGCTAGACTTTCGGCTTGTAACCTTCTGTTGACAATCACGGGCGGCACCACTGCAGACACGTGTGCGCACACTTGGGTATTTTAAGTATATCAGGTATAGAAACGCAACATGAGACTGAGATTAGCCATGGGAGTGCAGACGAGGAGCCAGGCCTAGGGCTGGGGCACAGCGATCTGTGGCCTTCCGTGTTCTGTGTAAGGATGCTGGCCTTTTAGTTTTGAAGGGGTAATGTCCTTAGCAGTCTTTTAAAGATGTAACATGACAGTCCACACTCACACACACATCATCCGTGCATTGACAGTAATAACACACCGGGTGAAATAAAATCAATCAAGCAAAGCAAAACAAAAACAAGGTGGAAGGCTTCTTAAGTGTGTTCATACGTGCAGGCCAGAGGTCAACCCAAGGTCCCGTGTAGCCCAGGCTGGCCTCGAGCTTGCTACATGGCTGAAGATGACCTTAAGTTTATGATTCTCCTCTCTACTTTCTAGTGCTGGGACTGCACCACTTTGCCTAGTTTAACGTGGTGCTGAGGTCGGAGCCCACTTATAGGAGACAAGCTTCTATCAACCAGGCTATACCCCCAGGCTCTTAGGGTTAGGGTACTGCTGTGGGTGGCCAGGGCTAGTAGGTGGACTGCCAAAGCCAGGGATTTTGTGCTGGAACTCAAGTAACAAGAGAACATTCTGCGGCACGGCAGCTGGAGGAGGGCTGGCAGAGTGCTAAGCACAAAGCCAAGCTCGGTAGCCCACACAGGCGCAGAGCCACCGCGCCAAGGTGTCCTTCACCCTTTCACTTCTCACTTGGAGGGAGAGAAAGCAAAGGTGGCCCAGGAGGCAAAGTCCCTGCGGGGGAGAGTCAGAGCTGCACACCCTGTTCTCAGGTCCTAGAGCCCCCCAAGATGTTGCCTCTTTGCTGCAAAGCATTAGATAGCAGAGAGGAAAAGGTCAATGAGCCGCAGGCAGAGAAAGTGTAAGAACAGCGGTTTGGCTTCCAGGAAGAAGGCAGGCAGAAGAGGGCCTTCCTCCTCCAAGAGTGAAGGTGGAGGGAGTCACCTGGAAAATCAAGGGAACAGAAGTCCCACCTGACAGTCAGAAAGGAGGGGGTCCCCCGAGGCTGGGTGGAGAAAGGCCATGCTTACAAGGCAGGAGGAACTTCAACTGAGGAATTTCTCACGATTCGGGATCTTCATAAAGCACTGTCGTGAGCCAATCAGTACCCAGTCGGTTTGCCTTTTCTCGATTCCTGCGTCTCTTTCTGCACAGTTGTATATTAAACACCGCCTGCTCTCTCTCGCTAGTCTCCTAAGTTGTTATTATCTGACTTCCCACTCTATGTTATATCAGATGCTAACTTTGAATTTTTGATTCTCCTGCCTCCAACCTCTCAAGGACTGCTTTTACAAGTGTGTGTCACCATGCCTGGTTTTTTTTATTATACTTTTTAATCTACATTTTTTCCAGTTGTTAATTAATTTGTCACTAAAAACTTTCCCCATCCTTCCACCTCAGCACTAAGATTTTCTTTCCCCGAGACAGGGTTTCTCTGTGTAGCTTTGGCTATCCTGGAATTTGCTCTGTAGACCAGGCTGGCCTCGAACTCAGAGATCCATCTGTTTCTGCCTCCCTGAGTGCTGGAACTAAAGGTATGTGCCACCACCTCCTGGCATCACTAAGAAAATTCAATGCATTTATTGCCAAGTTCTCTTTATATAATTCTCACAAGACTTATTTTATTGCATGTGTCTGTGCACCATGTGTAAGCAGCACCCATGAAGGCCAGAAAAGGGCATCAGATCCCCTGGAACTGGAGTTACAGACAGTTGTTAAGAGGCACCATGTGGGTGCTGGGGACCAAACTTTGGTCCTCTGCAAGGGCAGTGAATGCTCTTAGCTGCTGAGCCATCTCTCCAGCCCCATCATCATCATCATCATCATCATCATCATCATCATCATCATCATCATCATTATTATCATTAACAAACAGGGTTTCTCTGCATAGCCCTGGCTGTCCTGGAACTCACTTTGTAGACCAGGCTGTCCTTGAACTCAAAGACCCACCTGCCTCAAGTGCCCGGATTAAAGGTGTGCACCACCACTGCTGAAAAGTAAACATTTTTAAAGCCAGGCGTGCAGGTGGGAGGTGGAGACAGGAACATCGGAAGTTCAAGGTCATTCTTGGCCACTTAGCAACTTCAGGGCTAGCCTGAGCTACAGGAGAACCTATGTAGTCAAACTGTTCCTTTCATAAGTAGCATCTAAAGATTCTGGGGATGGGGCGATGGATGACTCCATGGCTGAGGGTGCCTGCCAGCAAGTCCAGTGACCTGAGTTCAATCCCCAGGACCCACATGGGCTGTGCTCTGAGCTCCACATGTGTGCCTCAGGGGGTGCCTACAAACACACGCAAATGCACACCATAAATAAAATTAAAATAAACAAACAAAAATAAATAGGCCCTAGTTACTCCTGGAGGAAGCAAGAGAGTGAGCTGCCATTCACTGAAGAAAGTTATCAGTCAAAGAAACAGGACAGAGAAGGATACCTCCACACCGGACACTGGGTCCCTTTAGGTCTGCCACAGTCCTGGTCCTTGAGTGTGACCTAGCAGAAAAGCCTCCCACCATCACGCAGCATCCTGTCAACAGTCTTCAGGTTCCTTCTCAGACACTGAGAACCAAGTGCTCGAGCCTTGACCCAACCTCTTTCTGTGAAGACACATACCTTGGTCCACCCAGGAAACTGAATGAAGGTGTCCTGCGGCAGGTCTGGGATGCCCGAGGGAATGGAGAAGTTGCCCACATAAAAAGTGGGGAGCGTGAAGTTGGAAGAGCCGAAGGTCAGGTGTCCATCATGGCGGCCCTCACCGTGGGCCTCCCAGCCCCCAAGATGGCTGTGTACCACAGCCTCAGTGTCCAGGGGAAAGATTGTCCAGTTGGTGAGGATACTAAAGTTGAGGGTCATGTTAGAAATCAAACCCTGTAAAGGAAAAACACATAAGCATGAGCTGGCAGGGAAGGAAGGGACTCATGGGTTTCACTGAATTCCTGGGAGAAGAAGCAGGAGGTGCGGCTCAGCTGTGTGTACAGCCAGGTGACCCAGGTCAGGCCGGAGGTGCTGTCACAACCTGGCAGGAACGCAGATAAGTCTTTTTTTTTTTTTTTTTCCCAGGATGGGCTTCTCTATGCAGCCCTGGCTGTGCTGGAACGAGTTCTGCTGACCAAGCAGGCCTCCAACTCAGAGATCTGTATCTGCCTTTGGAATGCTGGGATTAAAGGTGAGAGCCACCATCGCCTGGCTCTAAAAAGATTTACTTCTATTTGAGGTGTGTGTCTGGGCTGTGCGTGAGTGTGATCGTACATGCATGTGGGTACCCGAGGAGGCCAGAAGAGGGCATCTCTTGGTAGTGAATCCCCTGGAGCTGGAGTTACAGGCACTTGGGTCCTTGGATCCAAACTCAGACCTTTCTCAAGTGTTCTTAACCCCTGAGCCACCTCTCCAGCCCAGAGAGACTTATGCCCCTCCCTTTGACTGTCAGACAGCTGAGGCAATGGATCTCCTAGGAACTGGAATTTCCTTGAAAATCTGCTGGGAGAAAGAAAGGCTGAAGCCTGGTGTCCTGAGAGAGACCGGGAGCTTAGCTCCCAGGAAGAGAGGTGCTGACTAGTAACAGAGCGTCCTGCTGGAGATGGGCAGTGATGGGCAGGGTCACATCGTTGGCCAGCCGCTTAGAGCATCCCTAGCCTTCTCTGTAAACCTAAACCCCATATTAGGATTCTGAGGATGGAATGGGGTTGGGGTGGAGTGAGAGAGGGGAACACCCACCCTCCCTGAACAAATCTGTCTGCTTTTCAGTGTCTATTGTCAGGTTCTGGCTTACCACTTTTCAGGCAGCTGCGCTCCGGCTCCTACAACTCCTGTAACGACAACTTGCTGGGGAGAGGTAACCTCTCTACACTCTGGCTTCACCACAAATCACCACGAAATCACCCTAACTTCTACCTCTAGGGCAAGTAGGTGTCTCTGAGCCCAAATGCCCCTGCCTTCAGAATTCGCTAGATCGGAAGGAAAAAATGAAGACCAAGGAAAAGGAGAATGAATAAGGAAGGGAATCTAGGAAGATTCACCCCAGTGCAGAAGGTAGGGGTCAGCCTCTGCTCCTCACACCAGCCAGGGAGCGAGCCTTGATCCTGAGTGTCTGAGCACCTGCCCAGTTGTGAGGACCATACCTGTGGAATTGTGAGAATGAGAAAAGGGGAACCCACAGAAACAGCTGACTTGAGCTAGTGGGAGCTCACCAACTGACAGCGGGGGAACCTGTGTGGGACTGAACTAGGCTCTCTGACTGTGGGTGACAGTTGTGTGGCTTGGGCAGTGTGTGGGGCCACTGGTACCCTAGTGCATGAACTGGCTTTTTGGAGCCCATTTCCTATGGAGGGACACCTTGCTCAACCTAGACACAGGGAGGAGGGCCTTGGTCCTGCCTCAAGTGACAGACTTTGTTGACTCTCCATGGAAGGTTTCACCCTCTCTGAAAAATGGATGGGGGTGGGGTGGGGTGAAGGTAGGGGGAGCGGGAGGAGGGAAAAGGGAACTGGGATTGGTATGTAAAATAAAAATAAAAGATTGTTTAAAAAATAAATTTAAAAAAGTAAGTAGAAAAAGAGAGAAAAGGATGTCAGGGGCAATGAGACAATGACATGAACAGCAGAATGGATGGAAGTTGTCCTGTTTGTCCCACAGGCGCCAGGGGCTCAGGTATCCCTGGATACAGCCATCACAAGGAAACTTATGACCATGACGCATCTAACTGTTTCACTGTTACTGAGACAAGGGCCCATGTTTTCCAGGCTATCTTGGAACCCAGTATATAGCTGAGGCTAGCCTTGAGCTCCTGAATTCTCCTGCTTCAACCTCTTGAGCACTGGGATGGCAGACACACCTGGCTGCTCATCTAATTTCTCACTTGTGGCTTTTTTATTTGTGTGTTGAGACAGGATCTTGCTATGTAGCCCAGGCTGGTCTCCTCATAAGTGCTGGGGTCACAAGTGTGTGTGTGAGTGTGTGTATAGCTGCCAGGTCTCAACCATTCTCTAGCCTTTTTTTCCCCGAGACAGGGTTTCTCTGTGCAACAGTCCTGACTGTCCTGGAACTCACTATATAGACCAGGCTGGCCTCGAACTCACAGAGATCTACCTGCCTCTGTTTCCTGAGTGCTGAGATTAAAGGCGTGCACCACCCCTACCCAGCTCATTCTCTACTTCTTGCGTGAGGAGCTTCTCTACTCTAGCGGAACCCTGGATCTTTGAAGGATACCATCTGATAGCCAGTCTCAATTGCCTGTTTAGTGATTCAGTCGGTATCAGGCTGGGGGCTGTGTGCCAGGACCCACACACCACACGCAGCAGGACCCTAATCACTCTGAGTCAATGTGGCCCACAGCAATCAGTCAGCAAGGTCAGTGATTACAGCCTGAACACAGGGATGGAAAGCGATGCTTTCAGGGAGCCAAGTCTGAGCAATGTGTCCCCATGGCTCTTCTGCTGCCCACAAGAGGGTCCCGAAGGGAGCTGGGCGATGGCTGGGGGCGGGGGAGGGTAAAGTGCTTGCTGTGTGAGTGAGCACTGGAGTCGGGTCCCAGCACCCACACACATGCTGGCTGGGAGTGACAGCCAGCATGTAATCCCAGCATACAGGAGGAGACGGAATTCCCCAGGGCAAGCTGCTAACTAGATTAGGTGATATGTGAGCTCTGGGCTCACTTGAGAGTCCCTGTTCAGTACAAGTGGAGGCAGACTAAGGAAGAAGTCCAGTGTTAACCTCGGTTCCTTACACGGCACATATGTGCACATGTGTTCGCACACACATATATGACCATACATATATTAATACACAGATACTTGCATATGAGCACACACACATACATGTTAAAAAAAAAAGTAAAAACATGGTCAGGAAGGAACCTCTATCCCTGCCCTGTCTGAGGCTTGGCAGTGCCTGAGCCTTCTCTCCAGGGGAGAGCAGCCTGTACCCCGTTTTGTACTCCCGGAAGTACCTTGGGGACACTACAGAACTGTAACAAATGTTCTTGAACTGGGTGGTGTGGTGGTTGACCCCGTAACCTCAGAATTTGGATTGCTGTGAGTTCCAGACTACTCTTGGCGACCGCCCCCCAATAAAAAAGTTTCCTGGGCTGGGATGTGGCTCAGCTGGTAGAGGACTTGCTTGTCCTAAGTTTGCTTCCCAGCCCCACATAAACTGGGTATGGTTGACCGCGCCTATAAACCCAGCTCTTGGATGGTAGAGGCGGGTGGCTCAGGAGTTTGAGTCCTCGCCTACACAATGACTTCCAGCCCAGCCTGAGCTTAAAGACTTTTCCTTAAATGAGTTTTAAAAAACCCAAAAACCCAAATTAAACAAAAAGTTTCTTAATAATCTAGGGATACTGGTTAGAACGCCACACTGTGACCAACCAATCAACAGGCCAGTGGCAGAGCAGCGGCAAAGGGCTTTGCACAGCACAGATTTGCTACAGACCAACCAGTCCAAGCATGCAAAACTAGAGCCCACCAAACACCCGGAGGGCCCCTGATGAGCTGGGTGGGTTTTCAAAGCAGAGGAAGAGCATGATGGAGCAGCTTCCGTTTCCTCTCCACAAGAGCTGAGCTCAGGCCCAAGGGGAGCATTCTGCTCGCAAAGCTCAAGGCTCTCATGGTCTGGGCAGGAAAGGAGCCCTTCGAAGAAGTTCGTCTTCTAGACAAACAAATCAGAGAGCTTCACTCTGCAGCCTCAGTGAAGTGTGTGGGCTCTGCAAGGGAGCTGCTGTGAGGTGTGACAGCTCTGCAGTGGCCAGTCACACACACACACACACACACACACACACACACACACACACACACACACACACACCTCAAAATGTGAAGGGCCGGGGAATGTACCTCAGCTGCTAGAGGGCTTGCCTAGTGTGCAGGAGGCCATGTATTCAATCCCCAGAATTTCATAGACAGGATGGGGGCATGCAGCTGTGGTCCTAACACTTGGGAGATGGAGAGAGAGAAGCAAAAAATTCAAAGTCAACAGGCACAGGAGTGCAGTTTTTAATCTACAGCATGAGTTCCATGATACCCAGGGCTACACAGAGAAACTGCTCCCCCCCTCCAAAAAAAAAGAAAGAAAAAAATAAAGAGAGAGAAAAAAACTATTCAAAATCTGTTTCTGTGTAAATGGAAGACGGATACAAAGATGCATGTTTGAGTATTGACGGCACGCACAAAACTCCCCCAACCACTCAGGCACAGGTTCATCCCTCACGTAAGTGTCCTACCTTGAAATCCTTTATGTATCTGCCATAGTTCACACGCCCCATGTTCTCCACCAGCAAGTCCAGAACGGCTCCAGCTTTTCCCTGAATGTACAGGACTGTCCCAGAGTCTCGATCAAGGATGCCTTGGGGGACCTGTGGGTTGAAGCCAGAGGCTGAACGGAGGGTAAGAGCAGAGAAACGCAGCACTGTGCACAGTTGATCTGTCATTTCCCCTGTCCTGAAATGTCACCAGATTTACAGGGGAGTCCAGATATGCGAAGGTCAGCAGGCCACGTTGACAGTCACTGCTCCCCCAAAGGGCAGGACGGCCACACACAGCTCTGGGTACACTCTGCCTGAGAATGGGCTATTCTAACGGGAACAAGGTCTTCTGACGTAGCCCAGGCTGGCCCAGAACTTGAGACCTTCCAGGCATCTTTTTGCTTTATATATGCATATACGTTTTTAATATTTGTATGTGGGGGTCAGAGGACAACTTGAAAACAATTCTCTCCTTCCACTACGTGGGGCCCAGGGATTGAACTCAGGTCCTCAGCTTGACAGCAAGCACCTTTATCAACTGAGCCATCTTGTAGGCGTTCTTCATTTCATTTCTTTTTGTCTGTTTGCTTGTTTGTTTTTTTGAGAGAGGGCCTTGAGTAGCCCAGGTTGGCTTTGCCCTCTGTAACCCACACCTCCCGGGAACTTCTGATTCTCTGGCTTCCGCGTCTCACACGTCGAGATTACAAGTGTGGCTCCTATTCTTCTATTTTTAAAGGACTGGGGAAGACCAGACATTCCAGGGTGTGTTCTTGTGGGGAAGAATTGCTGCATGATTATCTCACAACCCAAGTTAGGTGTGAAGAAGAGAGCAGATAGAATCAGGAGACAGATAAGATCGGAGTTAGGTGGAGTCAGCTCACCTCACTTGCTAGGATGCCTTAACCACAGAGAACAACAGTATTTTCTCAACGACACATCCCTAACTTTTTATTTGAATTGATTAATTACCTAACTAATTTTCCGGAACTGAGGACTGAGCCCTGGGCCTTGGACTTGCTGGGCAAGCTAAGTCTCCAACCCCATCCCTAATTGAAGAGTTTATTTTTTCAGATTGGTTGCACTGACCACAGGTCACTAAGACACAATTAGAAGGCCAGGGAATGACAAGCTCACACAGGGTCACACAGGGTCACACCTCAGGGGCTTGTCCCCACTGAGATCAAATCAGTTGGTTATAAAATCACAGGAAGCACATACGTATACCTGTGCAGAGGACAGAGGGACAACTCTGGGTGGCATTCCTCAGCAACGGTCCATTGCACACCTGGAACCTGCCAAGGAGACCAGGCTGGCGGGCCGGGCTCCCACGGTATGCTCTTGTCCCTGACTCCCTGAACTGAGGTTATAACTGCATGTTGCCACGCCTGTTTTTTTTTTCTTATTATTATTTTATTTATTTTATGTGTCTGAGTGTTTTGCCTGCAAAGCCAGCTATTTTCCTGGCCAAGAAGGAAAGTATTTTACTTTAAATTGCTCTGAACGTGGCTGTGCATACCTGTAAGTCCCAGCACTTAACTTTGTTTGTTGTTGTTGTTTTTTAGACCCTGGGTTTCATCCTATAGATGTCGGATGGCCTGGTCTCTTGCAATTGCGACCTTCTGACAGCTGGGATAGCAGGCATGCGCTATCACACTTGATGACGGAAAGGCTGTTCAAATATGTACCTGCAGTATGTTGTGAAATCAAGTCCTTGGTGACCTTTAGCTACAACGGTCATGAGCAAACCTTTACAGTATAAAAATCTCACTTATGGGAGACACCCAGTTAAACACACTTTGTACGGTGACAGGTACTAGGCAGACATGGATGTGGTCCCTAAAAAGCAGTCTGGGTGACATATGCTGAGCTCACACAGGGAAGAGGCGACCTTGGGTTCAGGAGACCCTGCGTTTTCTAGAGTGTGAATGTCAGAGAACAGAGAGTCTGCAGCACGCGGGCCATATCAGCAAGCAAGGTCATTGCCAAGGGACAGAGGCTGAAACTGGAGTTAGTAAGTGTAGCCGGCCCCACAATGCTTACCCCGTCCACAGAGACGTAAGCCCGGTCACGGACGCCATCAAAGGATGAAGAGAAGATGGGCATTGAGCCATTGTAATCTTCAGGAAGTGTTGTTCGGTACAGCACATACCCAAAATACTGGGTAGAAAAGGACAGAAGAGAAACGTTTCACTCTCAGAGTTCAGCTACTAAGAACTTAGTTGCCCTTGATCTGGTTAAAAGCGACCTTCTGGAAACCATAGGGAATGAAAAGCTTCTTCCCCCACCCACAGCCAAACTCAAGCTGACTTTTTTGATCTTGGCGAACTATTTGAACAGCCAGGAACTCTCTTCTCTGCGACACAGGACAACAAAAGTCAAGCCATTGCTGAGAGTGACCTAGGGAAGTCACATACTGTATGTCTGAAGTCACTAGTATAGACTCAGAAACCAGTGAAGAGCTGGTGAGGGTGGGTAAAGGCGCTTGCCACCAAGCCTGACTACCCGAGTTCAATCCCCAGGACCCACATGGTGGAAGGAGAGAACCGATTCCCACTCCTTTGACCTTCATATGTGTGATGTGGCACACACAAACACACACAAACACACACACACCAACAAACTAAGTAAATAAGTATGGTAATAATATTACAAAGGGTCTGGAGAGATGGCTCATTAATCAAGAGCACTTGTGACTCTTGCAGGGGACCTGGGTTCAAAACAATCTGTAACTCTAGTTCCAGGGGATCTGAAGGCTTCTTTCAGTCTCTGCAGGGACCAGGTATACAGGTAGTGTAAATACATACAAGTAGGCAAAGCACTCATACACACACACACACACACACAATTTTTTTTACGCCAGGAAAAGCCCCAAGCACAGGACAAACACCGAGTTCTGCTCAGTAAAACATTCTCCAGGTTCTTGGGCTAAATCTGCTTTAGGGTACAAAACAAGACTCAATCTGAAACCATTTGAAGCAAAGAGGAAAGAGAGAATAGGGGTGGGTACTGTTACCAAATCAGGAGTAGTATTTGTAAGACAAAGACTCTGGTAGCCTAGGCTGTCCTCACATTTACTAGACAACCACGGACAATCTCGAACTTCCTATCCTCTTGGCTTTCACCTCCCAAGTGCTGGGCGTGCATATGAGTGCCACCATGCCTGGTTACACGTGGTAATCATGCCATGCTTGGCACGTGTGTGTATGTGCGCGTGCATGCATGCGTGTGTGCAGGTATGTACTCATGAATGCAGGCCAGAGGCTTTGAATCCCTTGGAACTGGAGTTACAGGCAGTTGTGAGCTGACATGTGGGTACTGGGAATCGAACCCAGGTCCTCTGGAAAAGCAACCATTAATCTTAACCATTGAACCATCTCTCCAGCCCCTTAAATTCTTCTTAAATTTGGTCTCCAATGCATGAGATCACTGGAATTTTTGTTGTTGTGTTGGATTTTTACATTTGCTTTTGTTTTGAGACAAATTGTTTCTCAGGCCAGGCTGGACCTTACTCTGGAGGCTAATCTGGAGGCCAGAGTGGCCTCCGGCTCTCTATCTCTTTGCCTATGCCTCTTGCATGCCATATTTGGCAGCTCGGCTAGACTGGTATCAGTATTTGTTGAAGGGTTCAGACTGATCCCAGACCATTCCTCCCTTGCTGGAGTCATTAAAATACCTGTTATGTGGACACAGAAGAGGAGACATGTCCTAATGGGGGCGGGGCAGGGCACAGGGATGATGTCATGGGGATTCCATGGGCCACTTGGCTCCTTGCCACACTTGGTCACACAGTTGGGATCTCAGCCCTATTTTCTGAAGTGTTAGGTCACCTGAGTCTTCCTGGCTTTTGGAGTCTGGAGAAGGGGACACCCGGCAGGACACCTCATCGTGGCCTGGTATCTGCTTCCCACTGCTGTGTCTATACTCATCTTGCTTCAACCACCGTCTCACAGTTAGTTCCAGGAGAGCCGAGCCCCGCACTCGACCAGTCTTTGCAACACGCGGTAGAGGGCCCACTCCACAGGCCCCCGGGTGCCGCTGGTCCCACAGCTCTGCTTTTGGACCCCTGCAGTGTACAGCTCTGGAACAGGGTGGGTGTCTGGGCCTCGATGTTTTGGCTAGGACGAGTCCATACAATACTTTCCAGTTTAACTATGTGTGCACAGGCTGCAAGAGTGGGCCCACTCGTTCACAGGTGCCTGCAAGGGCTGCCTGAGCCACGTCTGCAGAGAACGCTTAGCTTCCCTTTCTGGAAGCCCAGGCTGTCCACAGCCTCTGAGGAATCCGTCATCATAGACAGACACACACATACAGAGACAGACAGACAGACAGATGCTTAAAAGGAAAAAGCAGTTCACTACATAGACATACTAAGTAGGAAAGGCTACTCCTAACTGAAGAATCAGATTAAAAGTGGCTAGGGCAAAATCTCGTAAAATAAAAAGTGGAGAGAAACTTCTAGAGAGCAAGGGAGCACCAGGAAATGAGGCGCAGAGGGGCACAGAACACAAGTACGGCCTTCTTTCCAAGGCAGGAAGAGATTCTAAGAAGGAAAAATTAAATGAATTTTTTTTTTTGAGACAGGGTTTCCTGTAGCGCAGGATGGCCTTAAATACTGTGTAGCTGGGAATGACCTTGAACTTTTGATCCTCCTGCCTCTACCTCCCAAGGGCTGGAATTATAAGCACACCACTATACCCAGTTTATGCGGTGCTGGGGATCGAACCCAAGGCCTTGCTCACAGCAGGCAAGCACCTTATCAAACAAGCCATTTTTCAGTATCTAATTATCGATGCTCAGGAAGTGATCAGGAAACACCTGTGTTGCCAGAAGAACCCAGACAAAGTGCTCCCTTGGAGACCTACCTGTTTTACCTGGGTGAACGTCAAGGGATACAGGCTTTTCACAGGTCCATTGGGACACAGGATGTCCAGAGCTTCGGCCACTGCCTTGAACTGAAAAGAAGCAAAAACAAGACTTTGTATCATGTCGGGTCACCAGTGAGCAGGGACGTCATTAGTCTGAATTATCAAAGACACTGAGAGAAGCCTCAATTGCCCAAGTTCTGCTGGCTTCCCAATCACCTTTCATTTCACCCCACTCCTCCTTTTCTTCTCTTACTCCCCCTTTCTGAGTCTCATGTGTCCCAGGTAGGCCTCAAGTGGCCAAGGATGACCTTGATCCTCCAAGAGCTGGGGTCACCACACCCATCTAATATTGGAACGCCGCTTCTTGCACGCCAGGCAGGCCCTCCACTCACTGAGCTAAGACACAACTTTTATTTCTCACTATTACGATCTTTTGCAGTGTTGGGGGCCGAACCCAGGGTTTCCCACGAGGTGGACAAGCAAGTTTTCTACCATTGTGTTGCAGTCCCAGGCTGTGTTCTTAACATACATTTATTTATTTATTTATTTATTTATTTATTTATTTTGAGGCAGGGTCTTAGTATGTAGCCCTGGCTGTCCTCAAACGCAGAGATCCACCTGCCTCTGTCTCCCTAGTGCTGGGATTAAAGGTGGGTGTCACTATATTCTAATTGCTCCTAACCCTTTCCTTTTTTCTCTTGTGTATGTGGGTGTTTTGCCTGCCTGTGTTTCTGTGCACTGGTGTGTGCAGTGCCCCAGGAGACCAGAAGAGGGCATTAGATCCTGGAACTGGAGTGAGCTGCTGCGTAGGTGCTGGGAATGGAACCCGGATCCTCTGGAACAATAGTCAGATGTGGGCATGGTGGTGTACATCTTTAATCCTAGCACTTGAGAGACAGGCAGATGTGATTCAGAGGCCAGCCTGGTCTAGATACTGAGACCCAGGACACCCAAGACCGAGTGGGGGAAAATCTATCTCAAACAAAATAAACTAAACTTAAAAAAAAAAAAACCAAAACAAAAACAAGAGCAGTCGGTATTCTTAACTGCTGAGCCCTCGACGTAGGCCCTGCTCCTAACTCTTGATGAAAATGTAAATGATGGCAGTCTTAAAAAGAGTCTGATGCGCACCCATTCAGAAATACAGCTCAGAGCCATCTATCTAAGAAAGGCTTCAAAACGAATGGCACCCGAGATGTGAGGCGGCAACTCTGCAGAGCATGACGACAGGTTTTCAAGTGAGGAAGAGGCCTGCAGCCTAGATAGTAGTGAGAGGCAAATGACTCTAAGATTAGATCTGCCACCGTGCCACACACCACACACGGCACAGTGGCTTCACGGCTTCCAAGCCTGGGTGGCACGAGCCTACGACGGCTCCTAAAAGCTGCCCTCTGACCTCCACAAGTGTCAGTGCAAATGCACGCTCTCTTTCTCTCTTGCACGCGTGCGTGCATGCACACACACACACACACGCACACACAAAACCTTAAATGAAGAATGTAATCCTCTAACTATGCTTTGTATAAATTGGATACTGTTCTCCACTTATTTCCTCCCCCTCCCTCCCTCGTCTTTTGTGCTTTTGTTTTGAGTTTATTAGCCAGTGAGTGTCTCCTGTAGCCCAGGCTGGAACTCTCTATTCAGGCAAAATGATGAACTGAACATCTGACCTCCTACCTCCTACTCCCAAGCATGTGCCGACACATCTGCTCCCCACCGCCTTCTTGTTTGAAGACAGAATCTTTCTCTATAGCCCAGGCTAACCTCAAACTCAACCATGTATCACAGGCTGGTCTTGAACATAACAGCAATCCTCCTGCCTGTTTCCAAAGTGCTAGGATTTCAGGCCTGAGCCACCATGCCCAAATTTCCTTCATGGCACTAAGCTGTATGTTTTTCAACTTATTATTGCTGTTGTTTTCGACATCTGGGGCTATTTTATATCACGTACAAGAACTTTTTACTTTTTTAAAACCAAGCACCCATTCTTAAGCAGCTTCAGTGACAAGCAGGCTCCCCGTCCTTATGTGATTCAAGCGTGATGAATCTAAGAAGAGATTCCTATCAAAGACCACAGTCTTTGTAGAATGTGGCCCAGATTCCACAACACGGGGTGGAAACTATTACAGAGGCGCAGGCAGCCAACCAGAAGTCAGGAGGCTGCGAATGGAAAAAGTACACTACGGTGTTTGGCGTTTGGCTAAAAGATAAAAACGTATGTTGCTATTTTAGAATTTCAAGATTCTTAAGAAATAAGTGACTGTTCATGTTTTCTTCTTTTTCTGGTGAATGAATACATGTGGGAGTAGGGATGGTCGAGGGGAAAACCTGAAGACCCAAGGGTAAAAACAAACCAATTTTGGTACAACCTTCCTCCCATCAGTTAGGTAACTCTCTCCTATTTTCCCAGAATAAAAAGACCTTACCTCTTATTAATGAATAATTTCTATATTTTTCCTCTGATGTTCTAGTATTCATAAGCTACTAGGATATGATTTTTTAATCTAAACTAAGGGCAGAGATATCAAAAGTCCTGGGGCTTGGAGGAACTCATTAAGAACAGGAGAATGGGGCTGGTAAGATGGTTCAGCAGGTAAGACCTCTTGTTGTTATGTCTGATGACCTGAGTTCGAGTCCCCAGACCCTCACGGTAGAAAGAGCTAACAGACTCCTCCATGTTGTCCACTGGCCTCCATCATGGTGTGCGTCTCTCCCAACCCCCAAAATAAATGCAATAATGAAAAAAGAAATTAAAGAGGTGAACGATGGGAGAAAGCCTCACTGGACAGGATAGGAGCAGGATGTTCCTCCCACAGCAGCCCACAGCTCTGCCTCTGAGAGCCAAGGGACCCGAGCGGCTCAGGAACAGCTCTCACTCTCCTGCGGTGTCTCTGCATCCTGTCACTTGACATCCACATCTTATCTCCCATCGCTGCGTTCCCCTAGAAACGTCAGTCACTCCGCCAGCTCTCAGAAGAGAGATTCGGAGAAACCCCGGCAAGCCCCCGGCCCGCCCGGCTGAGACACTTTCACTCAGTCTCCCCATCTGACTCTCCCTGAGGTCTTGACTTTGTTTTTCTTTCTGAGACAGGATTTTTTTAGGTAGCCCAGGCTAGCTTCTCACACACGGGGTAGCCAAGGATGACCTTGAACACTTGATCCTCCTGCCTCTACTTCCTGAAAGCTGGGGCGAAGGTGTGAGTCAGCACACCTGGTTTATGAGGTACTGGGGATGGAACCCAGGACACCACGGATGCCAGGCGAGCGCTCTACCCGCTGATCTACACTCCCAACCCTGTGCCTTACCTTTCTCAGAGCAACCTTTCCGTATGCGAACTTGGGTGTCGATGGAGGGATAGGACCTTTCGGGACTTCTTTAAACTATAAATCAGAATGGGTGAGAGAAGAGGGGGGAAAAATTAACCTTTTAGACACACACCTGTAAAATTATTTTTTTCTTTTCTTTTTTGTTTGTCTAGACAGGGTTTCTCTGTGTTACAGCCCTGGCTGTCCTGAAACCCACTCTGTAGATGAGGCTGGCCTCGAACTCAGCGATCTGCCTGGCTCTGCCTCCTAAGCGCAGGGATTAAAATCATGTAGCACCATGTCTCGTCTCTGTTTAATAACGTGTTATTGGTAGTAGTTTACTGCTTAGCAAAATCGTAACGTCCTATCCAGGTAATTGTTTCAGAAAATAAGCAAATATACACAAATGTTATACTTCTTATCCTTTATTTCTCCATCATAATCTGTGCCTGAAACATGGCTTCCAAACTGAATGTCAATACGGCTTGTGTCCAGCATTGGGAGGGGGCACTCAGCAGAGAGCTGCTCCTCCCCCAGGAAATCTAGTAGATCCTAGTAGATCTAGTAGCTAGTTCTGCTCTAGTCTCATTCATCCTCCCACAGAGCCTATTTAGCATTTTCGTGTGGCGGTGCTCGGTAGTGGAAGGCTATAGAGTCCTTGTTCAGTGAGAGACACCTGCATAGGCTGTATGAACCTCGTAGTAAGTTACGTGTTCAAGATTCCCAGCTTATCACACAGCCAGAAAGCGTGAGCAATTCTGCTCAGAGACGAGTCAGAGGCCAACGGCTGGGCTGGGGGAGGTGGCTGAGTGGGCAGGGTGCCCACCGTGGAAGCATGAGAACCTGAGTTCAGATCCTCAGGACTTACATGAAAGTCAGGTGTGGCGCAACACATGTGTAACCCGGCACCAGGGGAGACTGAAGTGAGGTGAATCCCCAGGGCTTGCTTGTCTCAAACAACAGACCAGAGAGAGACAGGGGGAGATGCCAGAAGTTGGCTTCTGTCCCTGACACAGGTATGAACAGACAAGTACACACACACACACACACACACACACACACGTACATTACAGAACTATTAAAACCGGTTACTAATTTATTCAAGAGCTCATAAAACCAGAGTTACCAGCACCTCATTAGGACGGGAGCGGGAGGGCCGCTTTACTCTATAGTTTTATGGTCAAAGTGTTAACCGTGCCTGGTTCAGCTTTACCCACACCAAAGACAGTAGACATTAGAAAGATGCAAATGTCACAAGTTTTGTCAAGCCTTGATGATTTGAAGATTCATATGTGACCTTTATCAGTGACTACAGGCTTGCACAGCCTGCGGGGAAGCCGTTCTCTTCATCCCCACTGGGGTACCCTTAACCCTGACTCACAGGGAGAGAGAAACACTTCCCATTCTCTGAGGAAGGCAGGGGCCCGCAGACTCTACACGGCCACTGGTCATCAGCTATTTCCCTTCCGCACGCAAGCAAATATTCCAAACACTTTAACAAATCAGTTACAAGTCCCGTGAGAAAGACCGCAAAGGGCTAGAGACTTGCTCAGTGGTAGACTACTTGTCTAGCACGGGCAAGGCCCTAGGCGTGATCTCCAGCACTGGGGGAAACAAACAGAAGGCTCCACTATGTCTTTTAAAGTAAGCCATTCCAGAGCCGGTCGGTGATGGCCCAAGCCTTTAATCCCAACACTTGTGGGGTGGGCAGAGGCAGGCTGAGCCCTGTGAATTCAAGGCCAGCCTGGTCTACAGAATGCATTCCAGAACAGCTAGGGCTATGCAGAGAAACCCCATCTCGAACAACCTAAATAAATAAATGAACAAATGAATGAATGAAAAAACAGCCATTCCTGTCCTTTTGACCCTATGATGATGATAATGTAAAGAAGGCATTCCTGTCCTATAAACCTGAAATATCACAAAAGTAAGAAGGAACATGAGGAAAAGAGGCAAGGAGCTAAGAGAGAAGTGAGAAGAGAAGGGAATGAGAGCGTCACATTTAAACTGGAATCTATCACATTTATTTTAAAAATTTTATTTATTACATTAAAAATTATTACATGGGTATGCACCGTGGAGGTCAGAGAATTGCTTGTGGGAGTCAATTCTCTCCTAATATGTGGGGCCTAGAGGTTGAGTTCAGGTTATCAGGATTGTTGACAAGAGCCCTCACCCGCTGAGCTGCCTTGCTGACTCAGTCACAGTCACCCTGAAGATGGCTCCCCCTCCCAGGTCTGTCCCACTTGGCCAGATGGTAGATACATGTGCTCTCCTGGCTGCATCTTTTACACGGCCCTGTCTCCTTTCCCTCATGCTCCACACGCAATGCACACACACACACACACACACACACACACACACACCACACTTGATTTCCACTACAGAAGTGACAACCTAATCCTTTGAGTTGTCAAACCAGACAGTGGTGAGAGGCATTTGATTCTGGCTTTCTTTCTTTCTTTCTTTCTTTCTTTCTTTCTTTCTTTCTTTCTTTCTTTCTTTCTTTCTTTCTTCCTTCCTTCCTTCCTTCCTTCCTTCCTTTCTTTCTTTCTTTTTTTTTTTTTTGGTTTTTCAAGATAAAGTTTCTCTGTTTCCCTGGCTGTCCTGGAACTCACTTTGTAGACCAGGCTGGCCTTGAACTCACAGAGATCTGCCTGCCTCTGCCTCCCTAGCTTTGGGTTTAAAAGTGTGTGCCACCACTGCACAGCATGTTGTTGGTTTTTTCTATTTAAATTAGTGTGTGTGTGTGCGCGCGCGTGCACTGCCATGATCTTGCATGCAGAGATCAGAGGACAATTTTAAGAGTCACTTTTCTCTCTCTACCCTGTGAATCCCGGGACTTGAACTCAGGTCCTCAGAGAGAAGCACTTTCCTGAGTCATCGCGCCAGCCCGAGGCATCTGATTCTTGCCTTTTCTCTCACACTTGTCTCAGAAACACACATACTTCACTTTTGCTTCTCGTCCTTTCCCTCTAACCCCTCCCCTCCCTGAGACAGGGATTCGCACTGTGGCTAGTTTAGGCTGGCCCGGAACTCTATGTAGCCCAGATTGATCTCAAACTCATGGTAACCCTCCTTCCTCAGCTTCCCAAGTGCTGAGATTATAGGTGTGAGCTGCAGTACACGGCTTTGCACTTTCAGACTGTGGTCTGAGTCTGCCTGATGGCGTGCATGCACGTGCCACAATCACCACCAGTCCGTAACTTACGCCTGCCTCCTGGTCAATCCCTGCAGCCAGCAGCTATGCTCAACTCCCCGGTCGTCCTCAACGCTCTGAGTAAAGCAGTCTCAGTCTGGCCTAGCGGATGCATGCAACAGTTCCGTCTTGACCCTGGCTTCATCCATCTCCCCGCACAGCACTTTCCTTTCCCTGGCTGAGTTCCGACAATGTTCCAGGCCTGGCCATCAACACGCTGCTCTCTCGCCTCTGCCTACAAGTCTTGGCTCACATATTACCTTCTGCAGGAGGTCTGTATGTACCGAGAAGCTAAAATCCGCTAGCATAAATCAGTACATGACGGATACCTGCTTAGTCATCTGTGAAGGAATGAGACACACAGATAAAAACATTACCTGAAGCCAAAAGAGTACTAAATAAGTAATCAATTAAAATATGACTCCAAGTAGCAGATTCTCAAGGTAGCGGAGGATGATCTTGGACTCCCGATCCTCCTGCCTCCACTTCTCAAGTGGGCTTCCACGTGTCTGCCATCATGCCCAGCCCAGGTTTTGTGGGGGCTGGGGACTAAATTCAGATCCACCGGAAGTGCCTTTACCTGCTGCTACATCTCATCAGCTCCTTATTACATTTTAAAATTATGTTTTCTACAGAGCTAGTTCCAGGACAGGCTCCAAAGCCACAGAGAAACCCTGTCTCGAAAAACCAAAAAAAAAAAAAAAAGATAAGAAAAATGTAAAATTATGTTTTCAGGTAGAGTCTCATACAGTCCAGGATGACCTCAAATTTACTATGTTGCCAAGGGTGACTCTTGATCCTCCTACTTCCACCTCCCGAATGTTGGGATTGCAGGTGTGCACCCCCATATCCTCTACACAGTGCTGGGGATCATATCTAGGGCTCCAGGCAAGCCAGACAAGTACTCTTTCAACTGAGTTCTTCACTGTTATGAACCACAACGGAGTGCTGGAACTTCCTGAGAGCCAGGCACAGAGGGGTGCAGATTGTACAACTCCATTTATATCAAGGTCAAGACAAGTAAAGTTGATACACGCAACAGAAGCTCAGAGCAGGTGGGTGGGTGCTGAGGATGTGGAAGGAACACCAGGGAGGCTCCCACTGGGTGTTGGTTGCTGTGTTCTGCTCACTTTGCATACACAGTAGCCTTGGGAACCCGGTTCCTCTAAGGGCACAGGTAATAACACACTTGAATGGGTAACAAAACAAAAACACAGCAAAAACCCTTCCCAACCAGAAGAAGGGAAACAACAAAACAAAAACATCCTCAAACTAGGTAAAAGAGAAATAAGGAGAAGAAAAACAACAAAAGGTAGACCATGAAGAAATTAAAAACATAAGTAGCTGAAATTAATCTCTGTGTGGGGCAGCAGAAGCAGCTCTGACGTTAAAGTACTTTTCACACTAGCTAGAGGGGCTGAGTTAAATCCCACGCCCCACAAAAGGCTGGGCAGGGTGGCATGTGCCCATGATCCTAGAGATGGGGGTGGAGATGGGAGGGTTCCTGGGTCTGTCTGGCCAGCTGAATCAGGGAGCTCCAGGGTCAGGGAGAGACTCTGCCTCAAGAGTAAGGCGGGAGCTGGGCGGTGGTGGCACACGCTTTTAATCCCAGCACTTGGGAGGCAGAGGCAGGCGGATCTCTGTGAGTTTGAAACCAGCCTGGTCTACAAGAGCTAGTTCCAGGACAGGCTCCAAAACCACAGAGAAACCCTGTCTCGAAAAACCAAAAAAAAAAAAAAAAAAAAAAAAAGAAAAGAAAAGAAAAAAAAAAGAAGAGTAAGGCGGGGAAGGACGAGGAAGACACAAAACACATATTTACAATCATACACATGCACACATACAAAATAGAAATCTATCTGCATGTATCAAGAATTACGATGAGTTGGGCTGCATGGTTCAGGGGTTAAATGTGAACTCTCTTGAGTTTAGTTCACAGTACCAACCCACACTGGGTAGCTCACAACTGCCTGTAACTCTCCGGGGTCCAGTGGCCTTTTTTTTTGGCATCCTCAGGTACCCACACACATACACACCACACACACACAATAAATAAATATTTTTTTGTTTGTTAAGACAGGGTTTCTCTGTGGCTTTGGAGCCTGTCCTGGAACTAGCTCCTGTAGACCAGGCTGGCCTCAAACTCACAGAGATCTGCCTGCCTCTGCCTCCTGAGTGCTGGGATTAAAGGCGTGCGCCACCGCTGCCTGGCTACAAAAATAAATCTTAAAAAAAATAAATAAATTTTTAAACTGTAAAAGAAACTTCAGGTGAGAATCTATTTCTCTCTCTTTCTCTATCTTTTGAGACAGGGTCTTCTGTAGCCCAGGCTGGTCTTGAACATGTAACCGAGAATGATTTAACTGCTGGTGCTCTTGCCCCACCTCCAGATTACAGCTGTGCACCACACCTGGTTTATATCACGCTTTTCCAGAACATGCCAGCTATGGTATGTTAATCCCGGCTTTAATCCTGGCTCTCGGAAGGCAGAAGCAGGCGGATCTCTGTGAGTTCAAAGTCCCGACCTCATGCATGCAGAGAGATCCTGTCTCAGAACACAAACAAGAAACGCCCCCCAAAAAATGAAAGAAAATATTTCCTAATACAAAACTTAACACATGCTTAAAACTGACATTACATAACACTTAAGTTCTACCACTATAGACAGAAAACCTAGATTTTTCTAAACTTCAAAACTCTGGTGACTGAGCAGAAAAACTGTGGGTTTTTTTTTTCTTTTCTTTCTTTTTTTTTTTAAACTCACCGCAGAGACAGGAAACCCCACCTGAGTACTTTAGGTGCTTCAAAGGCTGGCTGCTGGCTGCTAGCTGGAGCAAGGGGTTCCAGAGGCAGCTAGAGGCAGCAGCAGTCACTTGGCCCAGATAGAACACCGTGTTTCTCCAGCACGGTGCACATCTGCCTGCACGCTGGTGTCAACCATTTATCCCCCAACACACGTGAGCTCCCACAAGGACACATATTCTGGCTTCTACTTGCTGGATGTCAGAGACCACCCTGGATGGCTTTAGTCACATCCCTTGCTCTCCCTACTCTTGACTAGATACCCTAACTCCACTCTTACGGAGACGAAGGATACGGAGCCTACAGCCTTGCTGATAAACTCATGTAGTCTTCACTGGGTGCGGCTGCACCCCAAACCATGCCTCCCTTCATTAAGGTTCCAGACAGGAAGTCACCTACAGAGTCATAAGGAGTTCATGGCAGGCTCCCTACCGTCCAGCTTGCCAAGAATCCAAAGGACCCACCTTCTGGATGACATTTCGAAGAGCAAAATACTTCTCAGTGAGGTCCCCGGCCTCACTTAGCGGGGCGTCGTAGTCATAGCTGGTGGGCTGCGGCGCGTAGGGCGTGTTGGCACCTAGAAGACAGAAAAAAGTCACTGGTCACTACTGTGGGCCTTGCTCAGGGGCTCAGGTTAGGGCGGGAAGAAACGCAAGACACATTAAAGAGCCAGGCAGTGGTGGCGCACGCCTTTAGTCCCAGCACTCGGGAGGAGAGGCAGGCAGATCTCTGTGAGTTGAGGACAACCTGGTCTACAGAGCGATTTCCAGGACAGTCAGGGCTACACTGAGAAATCCTGTCACACACACACACAAAACAAACAATAAACAGACACATAAATGCCCAAATCATCAGAGCTAGGGTCCAGCTGGCCAAGTGCTTCCCCAGCACCGCAAACAACGGATGTGGTGGCAGAGGCCAGCAACTGAGCATTTGGGAGGTAGGGCAGGAAGATCAGAAGTTCAAGGTCATTCTCTCTTCTCATTTTAATTTAATTCTGTGTGTGTATGTGTCTTTTCAGCATATATGCCATGTTTGATCCACCTAGGCCAGAAGAGGGTGTCAGGTTTCCTGGGACTGGAGTTACATATGGCTGTGAGAAACCATGCAGATTCTGGGAATCAAACCCAGGCCCTCCGGAAGAGCAGTCAGTTCTTGGACCTGCTTTTCCTTGGCTCACATCCCTCAGGGGACCGCCTTTATCTATCAACCATTAAGGCTGGGGCCGGACAAGCCACCTCCCTTGCTCCAGAGTTCCTCAGGACTGGCTGAAGCCATTCCCAGAGCTACATCACCCTGCCTTCTGCACCCAGTCATTCCTCCCTGTGGCAGGTGCTGCTCCTGAGAACACAGCTACGGATGGTCTCGTCTGGCTACCTTGGGGTTGAGATGGTTGAGACTCAGAATCATGCAGACTTAGAATCATGCAGAAGACAAGCCTCTGTGGTATGTCTGTGGGGGAGTTTCCAGGCCCGGTTAACTGAGGTGAGGCGATTCACCCTAAATATGGAAGAAGCTCCCATTCTAGAGGCTGGCGTTCTACCCTAAGGACCAAGCCAGCAGAGACCGGCATTCCTCTCTGCTGCTTCCAGACTTCAGATGTGGTATGACCACCTGAAGTTCCCGCTCACTTCCTTATGTTTGCTTTTGTGAAGTGTTTTATCACAGCAATGATAACTATAATCAATACAACTTCCCTGGAACTTGACCCATGCATGACAAAGACCAATCAGGAGAGGTTGGCACTGAGGACACAAAATGACCAGAAAAATAATTCCCTGGCAATTATTGTCCAAGGTGCAGAGTCTAGACCAGAAACTCCTAAGCTTGCCAAAGGTGACACCCCCAGGTTCAGGCTCCCTGAAAATACACCCATGCATAAAGGACATATGGGGACCTGCAGAAACGGTGTTAGAACCCTGCAGTGGAAAGCCTGGTTCCCGTGGGGGTGGGAACAGAGACGTCCAGGTTAACTCCAAACTACTACCGAGCCACGGACAACCTTGAACTTCTGATCTCCAGTGCTGGGGTCACAGGTATGAATTACCAAGCCTGGTTTTTGCAGTGCTGGGGTGAAATTCATGGCCACCTGCAGGCTAGGCAAACGACATTGCTCTAACAGGCATGCTGCCGCAGCCTACCGTGAACCAGCAAGGCTTGTGTGTCTTCTAGCTCAGACAGCCCTCTGCCACGCAGCCAGTCAGAATGAAGTGGTTTTATGATGGCTCTCTTTAAGAGCTTAATTTGTAAGTAAACGAGGCAAAAATTATGACAGTTTGCCAATACTCAGTGATCAGTTCCCAAACGATGGATCTGAGGACCCGGTGTCGGAGTGGCTGACGAAAGAGCCAGGGGATCAGGTTGGCCTCGCTTTCTCATCAATCCGCACAGAATCTCACCTTGGAAGACCACTCAGCCAACACTTCCTCCTCCCTACTACTGAGAGACAGCTCTCCATCCGGTCTGCCTGCCCCAAGGGCAGCACAGGAGCACAGGTTCAAACACTTTCCTCCCCACGACACAGAGAGATCACAAACCACATCCTCTCCTAAGGAGTTCACCTGCTGTGTGGCTCCTCTTCCGATGGGGTTCCTTATTCGATTCAATCTGCACTAAGCTTCAGCACCTCACAGGCAGGACCAAGCCATGCTGACCCTTGAGTCCTCAGCCCAAGCCTGGCATGGGGGTGGGGAGATCAGTGTGTAGCATGCTGTTGAATGCGACAGGTGTAACTTCCAGACTCAAATGCAACAGCCGGAGTGAAATGAACGGGGTTACTAATGGGTCAACTGGAGACTCTTTCTTCTAGTTCTTTATGTGTGTGTGAGTGTGTGCATGCACACATGGGCAGATATGCACACAGGTGTACTGTATATGTAGGCAGGCGTGCATACGTGCACATGCATGTGTGAGTATGTTTATATGTGCAAATGCATGTACAAACCAGGAGCTACCCATCTGGTTTTGAATGGATGAAAAAACCAAGTTAATTAATTTTGTTTGTATATATACCATGGTATGTATGTGAAGGCTAGCTTCAGGAGTCATTTTTTCCCCTTTTTTCTTCACCATATAGGCCCAGAGGTGATTAGGCTTGGTAGCAAGAACCGTTAGCCACTGCACCATCTCCCTGGTCCTTAATTTAGTTTGGGAGACAGGGTATCTCATCGGCCTGGAGCCCCCCAATTCCACTCCATCGGCTGGCGAGGAAGCCCAGGGATCTGCCTGCCTCCCCTGCTCACACTAGGATGATAGGCGTTGACCTCACCATGCCTGACCTTTCTTCCATTGCCTTCACTTTGTGTGGGAGACAAGGTTTCCTCTATGTGGCCCTTGCTGTCCCGAGACTTGTTCTATAGACTAGGTTGGTCTCAAAGTGCTCCGCCTCTGGAGTACTGGGAACCAAGGTGTGCACCGCCACACCTGGCTTGCCTGGCTTTTCTTAACACGGGCTGGGCTCAAACTCAAGCCACCGTCTTGCGCAGCAAGTTATCAGTACCCCTGGGGAGTGGCTACACGTGGGGATTCAAAGCGAGAAGATGATAGCAAGGTGAGCAGGGGTGGTCCTCCCCTCCCCCCAGGAAGGGTGGAGCACCCTAGGTACTGAGGTGTGGACACGCGGGGATGGGATGCACACGAACACAGACACGCACACTTTCTGAGGTTGGATGCACAAGTCCCTCCCCTGGGAAGTGGGTCTAAATACAGCTGCTAAGTTCAGGCCAGCTCTGCCAAAAGCAGCTCCAGAGCCCTGGAGAACAAAACCTGGCTGGTTTGGGGTTTGTTCTAGACCTACAGGCTGTAGGGCATTATCTGAATGGCAGTGCCTTGGCTCACTGCAGCCTGGGCTCTAATCCAGGCGCTGTCCTTTGCCAGCAAAAGAGGAAATGTGGGGGTGATTCTTGGCACCCTTATATTCTTATCTGTAAGTGATGTCAATAACCACTCTTCTGAATAAGCCTGATAAGAGAACCAAACAAAAGGTGAGCTGGAGACGGATTTCTCCAGCCACAGTAGGGCAGGGCCCCTGGAGGGCTGATAGCTTCTGCCTTTCGTCACTGCTGTTGCTATTCTATTTTTATTTACCCTTTGTTTTGTTTTGAGATGGTCTAACTACGTAGCCCTGGCTTGCCTAGGACTCACTATGTAGACCAGGCTGGCCTCAGACTCGTAGGAATTCTCCTGCCTCTGCCTCCCCAACGCTGGCGGTATAGTGCACACTACCACACCTGACTCAGCTTTCTCTTGATTCTTTGAAAGAGGGTCACAAGTAGTCCAGACTGGACCCTAAGTCACTGTGTAGCTAAAATATACCTGGAACTTCTAACCCTTTCGCCTCTACCTCCCAGGTGCTGGGATTAAAGTGCGGATCATCATGACAGGTTTGTGTGTGGGGCTCAAATCCAGGGCTTTGTGAATGCTAGGTAGATAAGTACCTCAGCAACTAAGCTACCTCCCAACTCTGGAATATTATTTAGTAATAAAAATAAAGTATCGGTATGTGATAGAATATGGATGAGCCTTGAAAATATTAGGCTAGGGCCTGGAGAGATGGCCCAGCAGTTAAGAGCACTGACTGCTCTTCCAGGGGGTCCTGAGTTCAATTCCCAGCAACCACATGGTGGCTCACAACCATCTGTACTGAGATCTGGTGCCCTCTTCTGGCCTGCAGGCATACACGCAGGTAGAACGCTGTATATATAATAAATAAATAAATCTTTTAAAAAAGAAAATATTACGCTAGATGAGAAAAATCAGATCAAAACCTTTCTATTGCATGGTTCTCTTTCTATGAACCGTCTGGAGCAGAGATTCTCCAGGCAGGGAAGAACTTGGTGGCCTGCAGGGACTGTGGGAGGAGAGGGAGTGGCTGTGACAGGTGGCCTTTCTTTCAAGTAGATGGGAGAAGGTTCTGGAAGTAGAGGGGAAGGATTGTACAACTTTGAGGACATCTGGAATACTTACTTAGAATCGTCAGTTTTATGGCTTTTAAAAACAATTAAAATGGGGGTGGGGAGATGCTCAGGGGGTAAAGATGTTCCACCAGGCCCAGATATCTGAGCTCAGTCCCCAGGACCCATAGGGTAGAAGACGAAAACCACCTTCCAGAAGTTGCTCGTTGACAGGACTGACAACTGAAGTTGTTCCCTGGCCTACACACGCGGTGAAATAATCCTCTTGTACATTGTAAAGATTTGTCACTCATATTGGTTTTGGCCAGGATCCAGGCAGGAAGTGTAGGCGGGACAACCAGACCAAGAATGATGGGAAGGAGAGGGCAGCATGAGCAGGAGATGTGTGTGATGTGCTGAGAAAGGTATCGCCATGTAGCAGAGCGCAAATAAGGGATATGAGTTAACTTAATATGCAAGAGCTAGTTAGTAATAACCCTGGCCTGTCGGCTGAGCATTTATAAGTAATATTGAGGTTCTACATGATAATTTGGAAGCAGATGTTGGGACAGGGTGCGGGCAGACGGGACAAGAAACATCTGCTTACATCCACATACATGGAACCCACAGATAACATATGTATACATGCACTGTACAACATATAAACACACACACACACACACACACGACCAAAGCAGAGTACGTAAACAAACACATACAGCCCAAACTAGACTGCCAGAGAGACCTGGCTGGAAGTAATTAAATGATCAAATTATGCCCCTTTAAGTTTTTTTCCACACTAAATGATTCTTATGTGTTAGAAAATTTAGAAGACAAATGGAAACATAAAATAAAAATTGGCCATTGTACCATTTCCCAAATCACGCACCAGAAACAGAATAAGCTTTTACTAATGGATGTTAAATGGATCTTACCATTCCAATAGGCAAAATTGGTCCCACCTATAAACATGTACCTACAGAGAAATAAGAGAACACACGTACTTCACTGTGGGCCACAGCGACAGGGCTCCCTCTCCCAGAACGGGATACTCACAAGTTCACACTGGCCCCACGGGCCAGCAGCTCATAGAGGGAGGCAGCCACTACTTCAGTCTTTGCGGTGGAATGGGGCTCACCCCAGTGGTCTAGCCAGCCAGTATAGAACTCAGAGTTGATCTGAAAAGGGAAAAGGGAGTGTCACTTAGATGACCTTCAAATGATGCTGAGGTGTCCCTGTCATACCCTGTCCTCTTCTCCAAACAACAGGTGCTAAGGAAAATTGATACACATGCTTAACCTGGAGCTCGGAGGGTCCCACGAGGACTTCCAATTACAAAAGTGTCTATCCTGGGTCTCTGAGTGCCAGCCAGTTGTGACATCTCATCTTACTCATTGTAGATCCAACCCAGTGCCAATCAGAGATATTTGGAAATGTAACTGTAACTCAATTAGTAGAATGCTTGTCTAGCAAGAATGAAGCCCTGGGTTCCATCCTTGGAATTGTATAAACTGGGTATGGTGGTAGCCACTTCTAATCCCAGTTCTCAGGTGGTAGAGGCAAGAAGTTATAAATTCAAGGATACCTTCAGCTTCCTAGGTGCGATCTCCACCCCTCCCCATCATTATTACCTAAATAATAAAGTAAGACATCCACACAGCATTTATGCTACATCAGGTTTAATCAACCTAGCGAGGATTTAAGCTTAGGACAGAATGTACAGTGTAAACCCACAAGAACCGCATCATTTTACAGAAGGGACTTGAGCAGCTACTGATTCTAGTATCTGAGGTTTAGAATCTCACATTCATATTCAATCCTACTTGGAGGCTAAGGCATGTCTTTCTCCTCCAGAGAACTGGAGTTCAGTTCCCAGGACCCCACATGGAGCAGTTCCAGGGGATCCTGCATGCCTCTTTGGCCTCTGAGAGTACTCACACGCATGGACATAGACATAAAATTAAACTTTAACAAAACACACGTGAGCCAGATCCTGGCCTAGCTGCTCCTATGCTCCTCACTGACTGCTCCCTAGGGATGGATGTAGCTCAGTTAGCAGACTGGCATCCTTTGTATGCAGGGAGCCCTGGGTTTGATTCACCACAGGAAGCTGGGTGTGGCAGTGCACGATTGTTCCCAGCAAGGAGGAAACAGGAGGCTCGGGAGTTTAGAGTCTGCCTCGGTCATACACTGAGTTCTGAGCCCAGACTGCACCAAACCCAGTCACTCATGAGTCCAGAAGGGCTCTATCCCCCCCACCCCAAAGTCACATCAGCTGCTCATCCCAGAGCCAAGAATTAAAAACAACCAAAGATGGACTTGTTCTCTTCTGCAGCCTGTCACCTCCTCTGGGACCAGCTGGGATGGAGTCTCTACACGCCACACCCCCAGCTCTTACCAAAGGCCCTTTGGGTTCGAACTTCCTCTGGGTTCGAAAAGCCTGTGTGATATTCCTGCCTGGAAATGACAAGCGGGAGAAGGAAAGTCAGTCACAGGCGTAAGAAGCCAATCAGTCTGCCATGGCCACTGGTACGGAATTCACAAGCTGGACTCTAATCCCAAAGAAAATGTATGGGAAGCAGAGGGCTAACAAGAGGGCTCAGAGGAAAGAGGTCTTGCCACCAAGGCCGATGACCTGAGTTCAATCCCGAGGGCCCACACAGTACAAAGAGAGAAATGACTCTCACAGTTACCCCTGACCATGACACATGCTCCGTGGCTCTTGAGCACCTGCCCCTCCCACCATATAAATAAATGCATGAAAAAATTTTGTCTTACAGATGTGGAGTTTCCAGGAAGTGACTTAGCCAGTCCCTTCTTTTCCCATTATGAATGAATGACATTTAATGTCCTATAATTGAGGGGACCTCTCACCCCTTTCTGCCATGTAAGGACTCAACAAGAAACTGATATGTGACCCAGAAGGAGAGGTCCTGGCTCAGCACGGCACCCATGGGATCCCCGACCTTGGACTCCGCAGTACCCAGAACTGTGAACAGAACAGCAGCTTTTTGTTTATTTCTCTTAATTTTTCCTGGGTCTCACTGTGAAGCTCAGTCTGGCGTGGAATTCACCATGCAACCCAGACTGATGTCAAATCCATGATCCCCCTGCCTCAGCCTTCAGAGAGAGAACAGGTTTATACTACCACACCCGCACATTAATTTACTGTAATAATCCAAACTGGGCTGCGGTGGAGATCAATTGGTAGAATGCTTACCCAGCATGCACAAGGCTCTGGGCTCAGATACACAAACTGTGGAATGACGCAAGCCTGTGTATCCCCAGCACGGGGGGGGGGGGGGCATATCAGTTAAGGTAACCCTTACCTACGAAGAAAAATGAGGCCAGCCATGACTACAGACCTGTCAACAACATTAACATCTTAAACTGAGGGAGACAGTCCCTGTCTTCCCCCTACACCCCTTATTTCTGCTGTCTCCCCAAGCAGGCCTCCGTGGCTACGGCTTTGCCTGAATGCATGCACACATGTCTGCTGCCTTCCAAGCTGCACTTCCCAAGCTCCCCCTCCCCCCCATGTCTCTGTCTTTTGCCAGCTGCCGACCGAGCTGCTCCCCTCCAGGATGGGCCTGCTCTAGAGACCTTCCTTGTGACTCAGGGCACTGTCCACACAAGGGAGCCCCGGATGTCTACCAGCTAATTTGCAGATACAAGGGACGAGGCCACTCTAACTGTGTTACTCTCTGATGAACAGAGACGGTTGTGAATATCAGTCTATACACCTCAGCCATTCAACTCCTTGTTTTCAACCACCCTCCCCTCTGCTCCCCTCCCCTCCCTTCTTTCTCTTCTCATTTTATGTGTGTATCCTCTTTATAAAAAAGATTGAGTTATTTATTATTTTATGTGTACATGTATGTGCCTGAGTGTGTGTCTGTGTACCACATGCATGCAATGCCTTCCAAGGCTAGAAGAGGGTGCCAGATCCCCTGGGTTATGGTTGAGAGCCTGTAGGTGCTGGGAACTGAACTCATGTCCTCTGTAAGAACTGCAAATACTCCTAACCTCTGAGTCAGACCCCTTGTGTGTAAATCTTTTAAAACAGGTCTTAATATGTAGTCTTCCTAATCTAGAATTTATCACGTGTCTATTGTAGTCCAGGCTGGTCTCTAGGTCAAAGCAATCCTTCTGCCTCCTGCCCTGTGTCAAGAGTACCAGGATTACAGTTATGAGTCACCATGCCCTGAAAAAGTTTTGTTGTTGTTATTGAAGTCAGGCTCTCATACAGCCTAGATTGGCCTTGAACTTGCTACATAATCAAAAACCAGCCTTGAACTCCCATTAAAAAATATTTTTATTTATGTGTGTATTTGTGTACCTATGTGTAGGTGCCCACGGAGGTCAGAAGGCTTTGTATCATTCAGAACTGGGTGCCGGAAATCAAACCTGGGTCCTCTGAAAGAGCAGCCAGTGCCCTTACCTACTGACACGTACCTCCAGCCCGTTTTATTACAGTTTCTGTTTTAAAAAGTGCTTTATTGCCTGGCTGTAGTGGTGCAAACCTTTAATGCCAGCACTCGGGAGGCAGAGGCAGGTAGCTCTCAGGATAGCCTGGTCTACAGAGCGAGTTCCAGAACTACACAGAGAAACCCTACCTCGAAAAATCAAATCAAAACAAAACAAAACAACAAAGTGTTTTGTCTGTCATACAAATGCATGAGCTGCCAAGTGGGCGCTGAGAATCAAACACGGGTTCTTTGAAAGAGCAACCAGAGCTCTTAATTGTTGCACCATCTTGTGGAATATTCCTGTCACTGTGACTGGGTTAATAAAGAAGTTGGCTGACCAATAGCTGGACAGGTAGAGGTTAGGTGGGACCTGCAGACATAGAGAGTGCAAAGCAGAAGGGGAGGAGTCTCAGAATCTCAAGAAGATGCGGAGGGAAGGAGATAAATGTGCCATACCAAGGAAAGGTACCAAACCGCATGGCAGAGTGTAGGTAAGAAATACGGGTTAATTTAAAATGTAAGGGTTAGCTAGTAAAACTTGAGCTATTGGCCAAGCATTTATAATTAATAGTAAGTTTTTGTGTGGTTATGAGAACTGGCTGGTGGGAAAGAAAAGTCTGACTATATAGTCTCTCCGGCCCTGCTTTAAAACTTTTTAATCTCCATTGGAATCTGATTCTTCATGACATTCTTATTTAGTCACTTTGTGTGTATATATGTGTGTGTGTGTGTGTGAACACACACATCAGCGCACACATGCCATGGAATGCCCTTGGTGGCCAGAGGACCGCCTGTAGGAGCCAGTTCTCTCCTTCCACCTTGTGGGTCCCGGGAATCGATCTCAGGTCATCAGACTCAACAGCAATCACCCTTACCTACGGAGCTAGGGTCCCGGGAATCGATCTCAGGTCATCAGACTCGACAGCAATCACCCTTACCTACGGAGCCATCTTGAATCTTGTGCAGTAGTGCAAGAACAGTACAAAGAAGCTGGGGGAGGGGGGAGGCACATGTCTAGAACCCCAGCACTCGGGAGCCGGAAGTAAGGGGGGGGGATCAGAAGCTCAAGGCCATTCTTGGCTAAACCTTGAGTAAGAAGCCAGCCTAAGTTACGAAAACCCTGTCTCAAGGACATCGGAGACGTCCCTGAAAGAGACTCGCAGTCCCATCTCTGGCTCTGTTTCTTAAGATTTTAGACCCTGAGGTAAATGGTCTCCTTTATCATACCCTTCCAGAAGGACTCTCATTCCAGGACAAACAAGACTATGGACTGGAACTTCCACAACTGTGAAGTAAAGCAAACCTTCCTCCCCCTCCCCCCCCAGGGTTTCTCTGTGTAGTTTTGGAGCCTGTCCTAGAACTCACTTTGTAGACCAGGCTGGCCTAGAACTCACAGAGATCCGCCTGCCTCTGCCTCCCGAGTGCTGGGATTAAAGGCGTGCGCCACCACCGCCCGGCCGAGCCTTCCCTTTTTATAAACTTGCTGCCTCGGGTATTCTGTACTAACTCACTTAATAAAGGAAGCGCTGAGACAGCTCATTCTATCTGCTCAAGCCACTTAAGCAACAGCTAGGCCGACGAGAACCAATTTTCTAGTTGTCACAAACACTGACCTGCTCCAAAATCCACTGTGGCATAGAGGCCCTGCAGGGTCCCACACCGCAGGAAGTTTTCATTCGCCCCATCGGTGGTGAAGAGAAGGACGTCATTACCCAGATGGTAACGGAAGCGGTGTGCCAGGAAACGCAGGTAGTCATAATCACAGGCGAAGTAGGAGCCGTACTCATTCTCAACCTGTGGAAACGTTTAGAAAGAAGAATGAAAAATGCCAGGGCAGACTTAGCATCCCTGGGAACTCTAGTTCCCATGCCCAAAACACACCCTCTATCCGGGAAGGGAGGCAGGGGCAGATCCAGCCTGAACTGGTTTGGAGTGCATGAGCAATAAAGCAAGTTGTGTCCTCTGAGTGAACTTTTTGGGGAGAATCCCTTACTTGCAGTCTTAGACCTATGCCTAATTAGATGTACATATAAAACTGGGCGCACGGTGGGAAAAGACATATACAGTAGAGAAAAGTGTGCATATTCCGTCTGTCAATCAAAACAGCTGGGAAGATGGCTTGGTGGGTGAAGGAGTTAGCTTGCACAAGTCTGACAACCCCAGGTCAATATGTGATGGTCAGTCCACATCTATAATCCTGTGGCAAGAAGCGGGCAGGGGGTGTGGGGGGTGTGGGCAGAGACAGGCAGCTCATCCAGAGGTCCCGAACCTTCTAGCCTGGAGTAAGCAATGCACATGTGTACAATGACACATACACACATACACACACACACATGCACAAAAGAAACAAACTGGGGAAAAGGCCAGAAACCCCCCTCACACCTACAGTGCACCCCTCAGTAACCAGCTTCTCCTCTAGGAGCCCCTAGATGGAGGCTGTGCTGCCTAGAGTCACTTGGTGAGGGAGCCTCAACTGAGAAAATGCCTCAGGTTGCAGGTCAGCCTGAGAACCATTTTCTTAATTAGTGATTGATGGGTTAAGGCCTGTCCTATTGTGGGTGGGGCCATTCCTGGGCTGGTGGTGCTGGGTTCTATAAGGAAGCGGACTGAGTGAGTCCTGAGGAGCAAGACAGTAAGCAGCTCCCTCTCCTCGGCCTCTGCATCAGCTCCTGCCTCCGGATTCCTGTCCTGTTTGAGTTCCTACCGTGACCTCCTTTGAAGAAGGGCAGTGATGTGGATAAACCCTAAATAGACCCTTTCCTCTTCAAGTTCTTTTGGTCATGGCGTTCATCACAGCAACCGTAACCCTGACTGAGACCGAGGTCTCAGACACTAATGAGTTTTACTCTAACTCAGTGGTTCTCAACTTCCCTAACGCTACAACCTTTATTATAGCTCCTCATGCTGTGGTGACCCCAGCCATAAACTTATTTTCACTGCTGCTTCATAACTCTGACTTTGCTACTGTTATGAACTCTAAGTATCTGATGTGCATGAAAGGGGCATTCGACCCCCAGGCTGAGAACAGCACTGTTCTAACTCAAGGAGCCGCTGCTCCTGCAGCGCCTGCCCCGTGAGATGGCTTTGCTTCTGTGTTGTCCCTTCTGCCCACTCCATAGTCACCCTGCAGAGTCTGTGTGGTTCTAGGTTTCTGAAGACACCGCAACCTGGGGACACTCATTCCCAAAAGTGACGCCCTCCTTCCTCTCCTCCCTGGAAACAGATGAGTGCTGCCAAATTTATTTGCTGTTGCTGTTTTGAGACAGTGTTCACACTGTGGCTCAGCACAGAACTCATGGTGTAGCCCAGGCTGGCCTTGAATTCACACAGTCCTCCTGTGTCAGCCTGCTGAGTCGTGGGATTGGTGGGATTACAGGCGTGAATCAGCAAGCCTGACTCCTCTTTACTCATTTTAGGTGAAAACTGAGATTAACACTTCATGTGAAACCCCACCCTTGGCGTCCCTGGGCTGGCTTGCCTCTCCTGAAAATAAACATTTACACATCTGGGGCAAATCTGGTGTCCTCAATCTGGAAGGGCGCAGGTGGAAGAGCCGCCTCTTGGTTAAGATCAAGTGTGTGAAGACCCAAGCTGGTGGTTCATATCTGTAACTATAGTGCTGAGACGAGGAGACAGGCGGACTCCAGGGCTCACTGATCAGCCAGACTCATCACTCTGCAAGCTCTAGGTTCAGTGAGATCCCATCTTTTTTGTTTAAACTTTATTTTATGTACATTTGTGTTTTGCCAGCATGTATGCGTGAGGATGCTAGACCCCCTGGAGCTGGAGTTACAGACAGTTGTGAGCTGCCATGTGGGTGCTGGGATTTGAACCCAGGTCCTCTGGAAGAGCAGCACTAAGCCATCTCTCCAGCCCCAGTGAGATCCTATCTTTAAAAAGTAAATGGGAACAGGGCAGCGGTGGTACATTTAATCCCAGCACTCGGGAAGCAGCGGCAACAGATCTCTCTGTGAGTTTGAGGCCAGCCTGGTCAACAACATGAGTTCCAGGCCATGCAGGGCTACTCAGGGAAACCATAACTTAGAAAACAAAAAGTAAATGGGATGGGACTTGGATGTAGCCCAGTTAGTAAAGTGCTTTTGTACGTACAAGAGCTCTGGTGCGGATTCCCAACTGTGCACAAACCAGGCACAGATAGATGTGCACCTGCAATCTCAGCATTTGGAGGCAGACAGGAGGGTCAGGAGTTCAAGACCAGTCTCAGCTCCATTGAGTTAGAGGCTGGTGAGACCGGGCATGGTGGACCACACTCATCATCCTAGGGCCAAGGAGGTTGAGGCAGGAGGACCATTGGGTCTGAGGCCAGTCTGGGTTACACAGGGTATCTACACCTTACACAAAACAAGACACCCGGGATGACAAGCAGGGAAATACCCAATTACGTGCGAAGACACGGAGATGTGAAAAAGGCCTTGGACCTGTGAATGAAGTGAAAACACCGCACAGGAAATGGGTCACAACATATGAGCTGCAGAAAGGAAGAGACAGGGGAGACAAACTCTCCTCTAGAAATAACCCACGGCGCGGCGAGCTTTGCTTCTGCCTCCCGAGGGCTGAGGGACAGACGCATGGTTTTCTGCTCTCTCTGCTTGTTAACTTGGTGAACTGGGGTGGGGATGAACAGGTGCGACTATAGTAGGCAGAGACTGGAGAGAAAGGGGATGAGGAGGGGACCAGAAGAGGGCAGAGTGGCCAGGTAGAAGCAGTGGCCAAGATGGACAGAAGAAATGTCCCCCAAATGAGTGGGCTTTGCTCTCCACTGCAGAGTTAAAACAGACAGGCGGTTTACGTCTTGGTTCTAAAAAATTAAACTATATTTGGAGCATGTGTGTGTGTGTGTGCGTGTGTGTGTGTGTGCGTGTGTGTGTGTGAGCACACACATGCAAACACACGTGCACATGTGTGTGTTGGGGAGCAAGAGTGCCATGGATCTGTGGAGGTCAGAGGCCAATTTTGAGTAGTCAGTTCTCTTCCTACACATGGGCTCCAGTGTCGGAGACCAGCTTCAACAGTATATCCCTTTCCAGGGTAGGGGCATGAGGATTAGAAAAGTCAATAAAGAGAATGAAGATGTGAGTGAAAATAACAAACAGAAGCATAGGACAGTACCGGGAGGGCAACTCAGTGGATCCTGAATGTTGAATTCTGACTTTTGAGTTCTGAGTACTGAGTCCACCCATGTTTAATATTCCATACACTTTTATACCCCAGTACCCAAAGGGGGAAGGAGGCAAAAGACTGCTTTGACGTGATACAAAGGACAACTAGAACAGTTACTTGCTTCGGTACTTTGGAACATCAAACCATGAATTCATGAGAAAAGCATTCTGTTGCATAGGCACTGAACCCACCCTAGACCAAGTACCCTGAAGGCAGCCACTCCCTAGGTCAAGCCTCCTCATTCAAAAGAAGGGGCAGAAGTGTGCTTGAATTCTCTGACTTTTGGTCAGGGCGGAGTAGATCTACCTGTAGGGGGAAGGTGTGTCTTCACATCTAAAGATGCCAAGTAACCACACCCTAGGTCAGGGTGTGTAGCCACGGCTGTTGTCAACAACTTGGCGCAAGCTGAAACTCTCTGACCTTCAGACACGGTGGCACAGGCTCACATTTTTGGGCCTCCACACTCTGGGATGGAACTGCAGCTGCCAGACCTGAGGTGAAGCACCTTTACCATCTCACTGCACTCAAACACCCTATGTAGATCAGGCTGGCCCACACACCTTCCCGCAGTCCTTTTTATCTGCTAAAACAATAGCTACATTCAGAATGGTTGCCTGACAAAAGCCTTTGGCTTGGCTTTTGAGACAAGGTCTCAAGTAGCTCAGGCTGGTCAAGAACTTAATAGGTTAGCGGCTGGCCTCAAACTCCTGATCCATCTCCCTCTGCCTCCACACGCTGAGATTTTAAGTGTGTGTCACCATGTCCTGTGTTTGATCATAGTTTTGATGAAGTTTCTCTAACCAAAAGATGCTGGAAAGTTGTGAGCAGAAATTGAAAGTGACTCAAGATGTAGTCAGGATGGAGATGACGGAGACAGAGCAGCTGAGAAGTGGCTCTCCCTCAAGACCAGGTCAAAGGAAGAAGAACCAAGGGGCTGGGAGATGGCGCTGTGGGTAGCAGTGCTTACTGTCTAAGCACGAGGACCCAAGTTCAAATCCCATGTGAAAAGCCAGGCCTGTCCACATGCACAGGTAACCTCAGTGTCGGGGATGGCAGTGACAGGAGGCCTCTGGGACACACACACACACACACACACACACACACACGCACAGAAGATCCAGCTGCACAGAACAAAGTCATGCCCACGTTTCAGACTCACTGTCTTCACACAGGAAGCTGTGGCCTCTTGGTGCCAACTCTTCTTGAATAAAAGACCAAGGGTCACTTAGGGTTCACGAGCTCCATTTCTCAAGAGCAGCCACCCAGCCTCTCGCAGTGGACGCCTGACCTACTCAGCCCTCCCGTCACCTCATGCCACCTACACCCAGTGGCCACACTCCCTCTCCATCAGGACTCATCTCTACAGCAAGAATATGAAGCACACTCCTCAGGGAGAATCACACTTCATCCCCTGGGCGTCCCAGGACCAAGGCAGTTCCACACAACTTTGTTCATTTCACTAAAACCACGCCTGGCCAGTATTCGCTGAGCCAGGCTTTATGTTTCACCTGAGTAATATTACTAAGACTTGCTGACAGTCAGGTGTCTGTGTGCACAGCATGCACCACAGCCGTGCAGGGCCTGGAGCAGGTAGAAAGAGATTGCAACGGAAGTGGGAGAGAAAACCAGGTCGTCTGCAAGAGCAGTCAGTGCTCTTAACTGCTGAGCCATCTCCCCAGTCCCCCTTTGAACTTCTTCATTTAAAAGGGGATGTCTGGAAGAACTGAATGGCATTGGCAGGACACTCAGGACAGAAGCAGATACAAAATAGTAACACGAGCTAGGCACACACCTTTGATCCCAGCACTTGGGGGGCAGAGGCTGGCAGATCTCTGTGAGTTCAAGGTCATCCTGGTCTATCTAGTAAGTTCCAGGACAGACAGCACTACATAGAGAGACCATGTTTTGAGAAAAACAAAACAGAACAAAACAAACAACAAAAAAACAGTAGCATGAGGAGCCAGAGAGATGTCTCAGCAGTCAAGAGCATTGGCTGCTCTTCCAGAGGAAACTGGGTTCGATTTCCGGCACCCATGTGAGGCAGTTCATAACCAGCTGTAACTCCAGCTCCAGGGGATCCAGTGCTCTCTTCTGGCCTCCACCATCAACTACATTTACATGCTAGACAGTCATACAGACACACATGCATACACATAATTAAAAACAAAAATAGGGAGGGGCTGAAGAGATAGTTCAGTGATGAAGACCCTGGCTGCTCTTCCAGAGGACCCGGATTTGATTCTCAGTACCCACACGGCAGCTCAAAACCATCTGTAACTTGTTCCAGGGGATGTGACACATTCTTCTGGACTCTGCAGGTTCCCAAAGGCATGCGGTACACATAAACTCAGGTGAGTTCACACACAGACACACACACGCACCCGCGCGCACACACACACACACAATTAAAAGAAAATAGATGGCTAGAGAGATGTCTCAGTGGTTCAGAGCACTTGATGCGCTTGCAGAGGACCTGGGTTCAGTTCCCAGCAACCACACAGCAACTGACAACCACTCATTACCAGTCCCCGGGGATGCAGTCCTGACCTCCACAGGCACCAGGCACATATATAGCATGCATACGTACTTTAGACAAAGCACTCACACATGTAGAATAATAATCTAAAAATTTATGATCAAACAATCAGATAAAAACATTAAAAGTGAAGTTGTGGTTTTTTCTAGCTCTAATTCTATCATGAATGGATTTTGTTTTGTATTGGTGGTGGTTTAAGCGTGTAAAATGTATTTGGTAGTGGAAGGTAGATCCTGGGCTGTGGACATAGCTCAGCTGGTAGAGTGCTCGCCTGCTCAAGGTCCTGGGTTTGATCCCCAGCACCACAGAAAGGGTGTGGTGGTGCAGGTCTGTATTGTCAGCACTCTAGAGAGGCACAGGGGTCAGAAGTTCAAGGTCATCCTCAGGTACAGAGAGTTTGAAATCAGCCGGAGAGACATGAGAACCTGTATGATATATATCTATATCACACACACACACACACACACACGCACGCACGCACGCACACACACACACACACACACACACACGCGCGCGCGCGCGCACAAAGAGACACAGGGGAGTTGGGGAGAAGAGGGAGAAGAGACAGACAGACAGACAGGTTAACACTTGTCCCAAATTCAATTTCAGCAAAAGCGCCATTTTTAGCACTGTATCCTGGTGCCACTACCATCATTTCCATAATGTTGATGGACAGCTGCTCCCCCCTTTCTCCTCCTCCCAGTCCAGGCTCAGCCCCAGGTACCTGCACGGTTATGATCGGCCCTCCGTTCTGGTAGAGCAGAGGCTTCATCTTGGGCAGAAGGACTGTCAGCCACTTATCCACAGCTGCAAGGTAATCTACAGAACAAGACGGTGTGGTTACTGTCACACACCTTTGTCAACTAGTTCATTCTCGTGTGTGTGTGTGTGTGTGTGTGTGTGCGCGCGAGTGTGCATGAGTGCAAGTCTCAGTGTCGGCTTCAGGGGTCAAGTCAGCTAGGCGATCTTGGTTGACTTTCAGAGCCCGGAGAACGACAGTGCAGCTGGTGGCCTCAACAACTGTCTTCTAGAATGCGGCAGTCAGTCTGCTGGATGCTGGGCACGGTCCTACAAGCTAGTAGTCCTGTTCACCTGGCAACTTACCCTGCTGTGGGGCTCAGAGACAGAACAGGCTACCAGGCAATGTGTGACAGGCACAGGGAGGTGTGACACAGCTTGTAGAGGGCCTGCCGAGCATGCACCAGGCCCTGGCTTTTGATCCCAGCAGTGCATATACTGGGCAGGGGAGCACACACCTGTAATCCCAATGCCGTGGAGGCAAGAGGATCAGAACTTCAGGATCGTCCACAACTATATAGAGAGTGTTTGGCCGAATTCCCTGCACCTACACGTTGTCTAACTGTCTTTACTACAGTTCCAGGGCATCCAACACCTTCTTCTGAATTCTGTGGGCACCCACATGCACATGGCACAAACATACATGCACCCATATACATTAAAAAAATAAATGCATGGTGGTATATGCTCCCACCACTTGGGAGGCAAAGGAGGAGGATCTTTGAGTTCAAGGCCAGCCTGGTCTACAGTGCCAGTTCCAGGACACACAGGGCTAATCTGCCTCAAAACCAACCCAAACCAAAATAAATAAATAAATAAATAAATAAATAAATAAATAAATAACTTGCTTAAAGGTTTGTTTTTGAGACAAGGTTATATAGCCCAGGCAAGACTCAAACCTAGTATGCTAGTATGTAGCCGAGGATAACCTTGAAATCCTGACTCTCTTGCCGCCTCCACTTCCCAGAAGAGGGCACCAAATCTCATTACAGATGGTTGTGAGTCACCATGTGGGTGCTGGGAATTGAACTCAGGACTTCTGGAAGAGCAGTCAGTGCTCTTAACCTCTGAGCCATCTCTCCAGAACCCCACCTCTGCTTTCCAAGTGTTATGATTACAAGTGTGTGCCTCTACACCCAGACAAAATTAACATCTAATAAATCATATATTTACGACTTCAAAAGAGACTGACAAACACACGTGCTTCTTAAAGTTCTCATGCGAACTCAGGAGGCAACACATGTAAAAACAACAATAATATAGCAAGAGTATAAAACAGAAGTTCATATAGTATGAGAAACATAGAATCTAAATACACACACGCCTCCCACCACACACAACATACATGCACACGCACACCACACACATGCCTCCCCACATCACACACATTACACACTACACATACATGCAGACATACTACACACACATGCACGCGCCCGCACACACACACATGCACGCGCCCGCGCACACACACACATGCAAACACACACGCACACAGACAGATGCAACTGAATGACTCCTCAGGGTTTACGCTAAAACAACCTCTCGTGGTTTAAAAGGATGAGACAAAGCTGTCATTTACAAATCCCTCCACAAACGCAAAGTAACAGCAGACACAGTGCTACCAGGAAATCTAGTGACATCACTCCAGAACCAACCCTGCCATTTTGACTAGCTGGCTGTGTAAAACACTAAGTGTGTAGGAAGAGAAAACAAGTTATTGAACCCAGTTGGTTAACCAGGTTTCGAATTCAAAGTTATCCATTTATCAGTGAGATCTGTTCAAGCCTACAGAAGAGGCAATGTCTCCTGCATGCTCACTGTCCGATGAAGGGTGATTTCCACCCCACTAACTGGCACTTGTACAGAAGCAGCCCTACCTTTAAATGCCTGGCTCTTTTGATATAAACTATCCAATCTCCTATAATCCTTTAAAGGCGGCAGTAACTCACCGGGGTCAGAAGATCGAAGGACAATAGATTCTTTCTCTAGTAGCCAAGCAGGTAAGCCGCCCTACAAGACAGAAAAGCAAAAGCAGTCATCAGACTGCGCACTGTGTGAAAAGAGATGAGATTCCCGTCAGCAGGAGGGGAAAGACAGAGGAAAACAACCTGGGCTCCTGGAATACAGGGAAATGAAGATCACTCTATTGACAATAGTCTGAGGACCAGCACCCCCCCCCACCTTTAGTTTTGAGAGGGTCTCACTATGTAGTTAAGCCTAAAGCTGGAACCCCTATACAGCACAGGCTGGCCTTGGAGTTTTGATCTGCCTGCCTCCACCTCCCAAGTGCTTGGGTTACAGGCACGATCACCACACCCAGCCAAATTCCCCCTTCTCTTCCTTTTTCAAAACTTATTTATTTATGTGGATGTTTTGTCTGCATGCATGTCTGTGCACCATGTACATGCAGTGCCCTCAGAGGTCAGAAGAGGGTGTTGGAGCCCCTGAAACTGGAATCACAGAGGGTTGAGCCACCATGTAGGTGACTGGAAACCGAACCCAGGTCCTCTGGAAGAGCAGCCAGTTCTCTTAATAGCTGAGCCAACTCTTCAGCCTCTTTTTCTTTCCTTTTTTCTCCTTCTCTTTCTTCCTACTTTAGTTTTCTTGCTGTTGTCTGGTTTTGCAGCCAGGGGGACTGACTGTGTGGCCTTTGTACATGCCAGGCAAGTGCCCGACCACTGGACTGCAAAGCTCTGTCTATGCACATGGCTTCTCTTAATTTCTTAACTAGTCCACGAGGCAGACAAAGAGGATCCACTCCAGGCCTCTGACAGGAAACCAGCTTATGTGACTGGCCAAGAGGAGCCCTGGCTCCAGCCTGCTCTTCTCTGTCTGGCGCCTCTCTAAAGGAACAGACACCTGCAGAGGCCCCGCACCACAAGCTCCAGTCTTTGAGCCGCAGATCGCTTTCATCTGCTTTGCCCAGCCCCCACCGCCACCGCCACTCCTGCCTTACCAACACCCTCCAGGCAGGCAGAGCCCCACGTTAACACACTCACCATGTCCCACTCTGCACAGATGTAGGGCCCTGGCCTCAGGATCACCAGGAGCCCCAGTTCGTGAGCCAGGTGAATGAAATACTCCACATCGTGGTCCCCAGAAAACTCGTATTGTCCTGGCCGGGGTTCATGAAAGTTCCAGGGCACATACCTATGAAGACACGCACAGCCAAAATCCTCACAGGTGGCAGCTGAGCGGGAAGAAGGCGAGGGGAGCCTAGGCTGTAGGACCATTTGACAACACAGGCGCGAGGTGGATTACTGGCCCCTGCAAAGGCTCATGGGTAAAGGTGTTGCTGCCAACCTGACCCCAGAAGTTCAATCCTGGAACCCCCATGATGGAAGGAGAGTGTCAGCTTCTACACTTTGTCCTCTGCCCTCCAAAGACATGCTGCAGCACACACTTACACACATGTGCACACACGCACACGCACACACACACACACACACAAAGTAAATAAGGTGTAATAAAGAAAAAATCTTTTCTAAAGTGAGTGGAAGCATTACTGAAAACCAATAGCCAGTCTGTGGCAATAACACACCGGAGTTTCAGATTGCCTCTGATCTCGGAAGCTAAGCAGAGCCAGGCCGGGTTAGTACCTGGATGGGAGACAGAACTTGATGTAAAGCAAGAGGCAGGTGCATGCCCTCTGGGTCACACTGGAGATGAACCACGGGGTCACTCATGACGTCCTCTAGTCTCCTTTGCTTACAGACTGGTGATCGGGGAAGATCATGAAAATGAGATGAACTTGTAGATTTTGTTTGTGGTCTGACAGGGCTACACATGATGAACTTTATTCAGAGACAACCACTCCCATTCAGGGACATGAATGGGATTCACCAGCTTCATCTGCCCAGATGGATTTTTTTTTTCAGGTGGCATTCTTGGCCAGCTCTGTATACCTCATCCAATTCTCCTTTGGCTTCACTTTGTATCTGGCTAGTCTGTCATCCTGAGAATCGAACACAGCCTTTGAGCATGCCAGGGACATGCTCTAACATGGAGAGCCAACCCAGCCCTTTATGAGAACAATCTATATAGAACCTGACAGAAAGAAGAAAGTACCTTCCAGCACACTGAAAACTTTGCTGAGAAAAACAAAATATATGTATTGCGAATTCTAATTGGTCTTAATAAAAACCCAGAGTCAGATATCAGGGTATGAAAGCCGAAAGATCAGAGAAGCAGAGCAGCCAGCCACTAGTTCGTACCTCTATGAAATCCTCAGACCGAGTGGGGTATCCTGTCTCCAGGAATCCTCAGACTCAATGCTGTCTCTATGAAACCTCAGACTGAATCCTGAGCTCCTGTCTCCTCCCACCTTATATTCCTCTCTCCGCCCAGCCACATCACTTCCCATCTCCACTCCCTAGTGCTGGGATTAAGGGTGTGAGCTGCTACTGCTTGGCTCTGTTTCTCTTTTAGACTATTCAACGTGGTGTAGCCCAGGGTGGCCTTGAACTCACAGAGATTGCCTGCCTCTGTCTCCCCGATTGCTGTAATTAAAGATCTGTGCCACCACTGCCTGGCCTCTATGGCTACCTAGTGACTAGCTCTGCACTCTTCAGGCAAGTTTTATTTGTTAAAGCAAAAACAAAATATCACCACAAACACATGAGCTCTAATTATCATGCTAAAGTAACATGAAAAATATCTATTTAAAATAATCAAGGTTAAGTGGAACATAGTGGCCCTTGGGAAGTGGAGGCAGGAGGATTAAGGAGTTAAAGGCCAGTCTGGGGTTGGTTCCCAATAAATTTGAGGGTATCCTGGGTTACAAGAGACTCTGCCTGAAAAATAAGCAAAGAAATGGTTGGCATAATGGGGCACTGACCTTTAATCCTGGGAGCCAGGAGTCACAGGCAGGTGGATCTCTGTGAGTTCAAGGCCAGTCTGGTCAACCTAGAGAGTTCCAGGACAGCAGGAGTGGTGCGGGACAATTGTCTATATTCTGTCAATTATGTCTTAAATTAACACTGATTGGCTAGTAGCCAGGCAGGAAGTATAGGCAGGACAACCAGACAGGAAGTGGAGGCCGGTCAATGAGAACAGGAGAATTCTGGGAAGAGGGAAGCTCTCTCCACAGTCCTGTCCAGACACAGAAGAAGCAAGATGTGATCACACCGCTGAAAAAGGTACTGAACCATGTGGCTAATACAGATAAGAATAATGGGCTAATGTAAGTTATAAGAGCTAATACGAAACCTGAGCTAAGGGGCCAATCAGTTTATAATTTATGGAGACCTCTAAGCCGGGCGGTGGTGGCGCACGCCTTTAATCCCAGCACTCGGGAGGCAGAGGCAGGCGGATCTCTGTGAGTTCGAGGCCAGCCTGGTCTACAAGAGTTAGTTCCAGGACAGGAACCAAAAAGCTATGGAGAAACCCTGTCTCGAAAATTAAAAAAAAAAAAAAAAAAAAAAAAAACAACTTATGGAGACCTCTTGTGTGATTTTCTTTGGGACCTAACGACTGTGGGAACTGGGCAGGACAGAAACCCCAACAAACAGGCCCTTCATATTATAGAAAGGCGCCAACGTGTGGACAACAGCATCCACATAAAGCCCATTGTTCTTATCTCTAAAAGTGTGTATGGGGGAAGGAGGGTTGTTGGTCAATGGCTCAGTGGTTAAGAGCACTTGCTCTTTCAGAGAATCCAGGCTTGGTTCCCACCCACATGGCCTCCCACAACCATCTGTAACTACAGTTCCAGGGTATCTGGCTCCCTCTTCTGGCCTCTGTGGGCACTGCATGCACATGCTACATAGGCATACATGCATACAAAACATCCATACCAAGGAAACAAAACAAAAACCCCTACCCAGTCTAGGGACCTAGTAGTCTAGTGGTAACGTGCCCAGCATGTGCTAAGCCTAAATTTGACTCTCAGCACTGAAACCAAACCACAGAAAAATCTCCAACCACTATAAGAAGACAAAAGATTTGTGTCAGGAATACTGGGGCCAGGAAATAAAAGGACCCAAACTCAACCAGCTCCCCTAAATCTGGTAGAGATACACACTTGCACTTGAACCATTCATTCTCAGCACACAACCCCTGTTGGTGAGCTGCATGCGCATCCTGTAGCCCCGGAACAATCAGCCGCAGCCCATTAGAACTCAGCGTGTCAACCTCTGTAAGTGAACTTGGATTCATTCTGCCAGTGGCCGCAGAAACAGAAAAGTGGGACTCCCCCTGGGTATCTACTAAACCAGCCAAGGCTTTCTCTCTTTATCTTTAAAGATGGTATCAGTAATCCACATCAGCTTATAAAAACCAGAGTGGTCAGCTGCCTCAGCTTCCCTCCCAGCTAGTCATTTCATAGCATCAGAGGGGACGGGGACAGGCCTGTGGGCATGAACCCACAGCCCGGACTCAAAAGGTTAACCCCGTAAGGCAAGCTGGGTTCCAAAAACCTAAGCACAAGGCTTACTCCCCTACACCCAAAGCAGCTACGGCTGCCTCCAAACTCCTTCATGTTTGGCTCCTTGATGGGCCTCTGGCCAATGACCTTGGCAGAAATTTAAGTTTTATGAGCTATAAACAGGAATATGATGTCTATCTCAGACAAAGAGAACCACTCTTTCAAAAGTGCCCTGCTCTTTCCAAGAGTTCATCGTATCACACCTTCAACCTCTCTACTATTGGAGTGTGTGTTTATGTGTGTGTGTGTGTGTGGTGTATGTGTTGTGTGTGTACACGTGCAGATCAGGCAACGCCCTGCACGAGTCTGTTCTTCTCTTCCCCCAGGTAGGTCCCCAGGATCAGATCGGGCAGTAGGCAGCTGTGCCTTTTGAGCCATTCTCCGGGCCCCCACCTTTGCTTTTTCAAGCTGATTTCTACTTTATGATTTCTGATGACAAAGTTTAAGTGAGAAATGGTTTGTTATCTGAAAAAAGGTCAGTCGAGCTTGTGACACGCCCCTCAGAAATCCACACCGGGCTCCCTCCTACTCCTGAGCAATGGAATCGCTGATAAGGGAGAAATAAAGCCAGGTGTGAGCATTGGCGTCTCAGCCGGACGCCCTTCCTTACATCTGGATGGCATTCAGCCCAGCCATCTTCATCTTCAGCAGCCGGTCCTCCCAGTAGAAGCGGGGTATCCGGAAGTAGTGGATGCTCCCTGAGATGTAGCGGAAAGGCAGTCCATCCTTGAGGAAGCGGTCATGGCTATAGTCGAGCTCAAACGTCCTCCGGGAGACATTCTGCAGGAGAAGGAAGGGACCCCATGAGAATGAGGACCTTTACTTCAGAAGCGGAGCTGTGGGTGGGGGCAGGTGGCTTTCTGTCTGTTTCAGTGACATAATGTCTCAGTACGCCCTGCCAGTCTCTGGGGTAGCAAGCAAGCCACTGCTCAGCCAAGCACACGGGGTGACGTGGTTAAGAGTCACTGAGGAGGCCATCTCCCACTGTGGCTCTACTCCTAAAATCTGGAGCCCATAGATGTTCAGGAGCTGAGACTATATCCTCTGTGCTGTTTGTGAGCACAGAGACAGAGGTGTGCACACAGAAGCTAACAGCCATGCCGCTGGGATCACCAAGACCCATTCAGAAACGTCTAAGAATAAAACACAGGGCAGAAACCATTGGATCAGGTGTGGAGTGCAGTGACGGAGAAACGGAGGCAAGAGGATCAGGAGTTCAGTGACCCTTGGCTACATACAGAATTTGAGGTCAGCCTGGGCTACATGAGACCCTGTCTCAGACAAACAAAGCAACAGATCCATGAAGCCCCCTCCTAGCTGCCGTTCTGAGTCCCAGAGTGACCCGAGCAACTGTCCTCTCCAGGTCTACATCTCAGCCATAACTACCAGGTATCAGAGGACAGGAACTTTAAAGCAAGATGTTTAAAGCTGTAGGTGAATTGATCTGAATTTGGGGGAGGGGTCGGAGTCAGTCAGCGCCTTTTCACAAGAACAGAAAACAGTGCGCTGCACACAGCACAGCACTAATCCCAAAATGCTTGTTACACCATGAAGCATCACACACACACACACACCCAGTGGCTGAAATGTCAAGTAAGGAGTCGACAGTTCAAGGAACCCAGTTTGGGGTTCACTTCAGGAGCTGTCAGGCAAAGTGGAACACTGCACCCTGGTGGACAAAGACAGGCAGCAATGGGCAACAGGAACTCCCGCAGTGCTGACAAGCTGCCACATCTGGAAACATCTGGAAGCAACCTTGAGGGCACCGAGTCCTAGATCGAGCGCTCCATTGATTTGTTAGCTGGATGGCTGGACTTGAAGAACGTCTCTCCCTCAGGTCTAGCTCTCTGCTAGACTCACTAAGGTCAAATCAGTGATGACTTAGGAGCACTGTCTAGGCGGGGCTGTGCACTTCACGTGGAATCATGACGTGTGATGTAGGTAGACACGACCATGATGGCTTTTACTGCTACTGAAGCTGAAACTGAGGCAATTGCTCTGGAAAAGCTCATCCCTGGTGTACAGGACCCAGTCACAAGCACCAGGAGGCTGAAGAAAAAGGCGCACAGACCCAGGACTGCAGAGTTAACTGGGGACTTACAGAAGTGTGGGCCTAAGCAGCAGGCAGACTGGCTGACCTCCAGAATCTGGGCTAGAAAATGAGGTGTCTTCTCAGGGCCTTTCCTTTCTTTCCCTGCCCCTCATTCCTGTGCTCCTGTTTGGATTCTCAAGCTACCTGCCCCAAACCTTTGTTTCAGGTTCTGTTTTCAGAGGATCAGGACAAGTGGTACCAGGAATGGCCTCATGTGACCTTGACTGTCAGTTTAGTGGAATTTAGAATCACCAAGGAGAGACCTCTGCGGTAAGTGTGGTGGTCGGATGAGGATGGGCTCCACGGTCTCAAATGTTTGAATGCTTGGTTCCCAGAGTTGTTTAGAAAAGATGAGGTGTGGCCTTGCTGGAAGAGGAAAACGTGGCCTTGTTGGAGGCTGTCTGGCCTCTCTGGGAGAGGCGTGGCCTTGTTGGAGGAGGTGTGGCCTCTCTGGGAGAGGCGTGGCCTTGTTGGAGGAGGCGTGCCACTAGGAGTGAGCACTAGGTTTCTCAGGCCCAAGCCTTCATAGGAGCTCTCTGGGGATCAGATGGAAGCTCTCCGCTACTGTTCCAGCACCATGTCTGCCTGCCTGTAGCCGTGCTCCCTACCATCATCGTGAACTCTGACCCTCTCAAACGCTAAACAGCCCCCAATTAAAAGTTTTTATAAATTGACTCACAGTGTCTTTTTACAGTATGTCTGCAAGGGTGTTTCCAGTAAATTTTAAGTAGGTATGGGAGACCCGCTCTGTGGGTGGTGCTATGCCATGGGCTGGGGTCCCTGGCTGAAGAAAAAGGAGCAACTGAGCTGAGCACCAACATCCATTTCTTGTTTCCACTATGGACACAATGTGACCGGCGCTCCACACCTGCCATCTTTCCACGTGGACACAATGTGACCAGCGCTCCACACTCCTGCCATCTTGCCTCCCCAACTTGATGGACTGCACCCTCACACTGTGAGCCAAAAATAATCCCTTAAGTTTCCTCTGTCTGAGCAAAGAAAACTGTAACAAATACACCTAGACATGAGTTGTGGGTCAGCATCTGGAGCTTTTACAGGTACCAACAAGCAACCAGACCTTACAGCTAGGTGTTTAGTGGGTGAGCAAGGAGACCCCCAAAGGCATGCCATGCTCCTCACCTATGCTGGACAGATGAGGCCCAGGTTGGGGGAGGGGCAGGATTTGGCATGTTTAATTTTAAATCTTGTATGTGTGTGTGTGTGTGTGTGTATGAGTAACACGCATGGTGTTGTGTATGTGCCACAGCACTCACGAGGAGATCAGAGGACAACTGTGGAGTGAGTTCTCTCCCTCCTCCTCTCTGTGGGTTGTGGGATTGAACTCAGGTCATCAGACTTGCAGAGCCATCGCTCTGCCTGTGGAAGAATCTCCTCATGCAGGAGCTGGCACGCGGCTTAGTTCTTCTGGTTTACCAGGAACTGGAGAGACCGCAAGGCTGGCTGGCTTGGCTAGCAGGTTTGGAAGCTCTGAAGAGAGGGACGGATGGGTTCAGGGCAGTCTTTGAGTGATACACACTTCTGTGACGGGTGTCTACGGAGACCCTCACCTCCGACCAGAAAAGCAAGGTGGAGGGTTTAACCATGGTGGGACACTGGGAATGAATCTGGAGGGGCAAAGGACAGTGCCCTGGTAGAGGATACTGGGAAGGAGTATCTGCCCTGAGCCATAGCTATCACCTTGGCTCTGATCCCTAAGCTCAAGGAATGGTTTCTTGGACACAGTGAACCATGGACCATGTGGACCATTGGTCCATGACAGCAGCCTGCAGGAAGGGAGGGGAGATGCCAGGAGATCCTATGACCATTAGGAAGTGATGGTTCGGGGAGGGAGCAATGTAAAGATGGACATGAGAGACCCCACTGGGTGACTATATAAACCATAGGCCTCAGGAGACCCAGAGATGTGCCGCCAGTGAGGACATCAGTGAGGAGGGCTTTGGTAACCTTAGAGTCCCCATGGCGGCATCTTCAAAAGATGAGTGATGACAGATGAATGGCTGTGACACTGGGCTCCCTGTACTCTGTAAAGATTTGTTACTCATATTGGTTTAATAAAATGCTGATTGGCCAGAAGTCAGGCAGGAAGTATAGGTGGGGTGACCAGACTAGGGGAATTCTAGAAAAAAGAAAGGCTGAGACACACTCCTAAGTCAGACACAGAGGAAGCAAGAAAAGGTACCAAGTCACATGGCTAAATACAGATAAGAATTATGGGTTCATTTAAGTTGTAAGAGCTAGTTAATAATAAGTCTGAGCAATAGGTCAAACATTTTATAATTAATAAGCCTTTGTGTGTTTATTTGGGACTGAACAGCTCCAGGACCAGGTGGGACAGAAATTCGTGTCAACAGCCCTCTCTACTGCTGGGGATGCCAAGATGGCAGCATTATCAAGGGGGACCATCGTAAACATCAAGCCAAGGGACACAATTTCCAGTAGTGATCCTAGGCAACGGCTTCGAAGTCACAGTGTCCCATGCAGTGAGATAGGAAAGGGCTGATGTCTGCCGCTAGAAAATTGAGGTGCCTTTTCCAGTTCTCAATTTGACTCAGTTTCCAGACACAGTAGCTTAAGGTGTGTGTGTGTGTGACTGGATCCTCTGAAGGAAGGACCCTACAGTGTGACTACTAGCACAAGCACTAAACAATGAGACTTAGGGTACCTAGCTGTGTCCTCAGGAAAGAGTGCACCGTCCGCACAGTTTAGGCCAACACTTATACTAGGAAATGTGACACACCATCAATCCCTCTTGTCACTCCCAGAAGGCCCAGGTCCTTCACACAGCGGCTTCCAGAAGTAGAGAGCGTGTCCTACCGTTATTTCCCTTGTCTGAATGCAAACTGGGACCAAAGTGGAATGAATTTCCCTATCAACGGCTACTAGAATCCCTGCCAAGTACAGGGGCTTTTATGGATCCAGTGAGAGTTCCAGATCTTACTCTTCCTTAAGATAAACCTGGAGGAGACAACACTCCTGGAAGAGCTACCAGATTCTCCTCCACCGAGGTTTAAAGATCATCTCCATCGAATTCCATCTGACCTATCTGTGGGACCATGCCAATAACATAAGCATCACGGTGAACAACCGTGGGCTATTCATAACAAAGCGTGGCTCCAAGAGCAGGTACCACAGGGTTATCGTAAGAGCAGAGACCATGGCCTCCAACACTTGGTTGGCTGACCACATGGGAATCTTTTTGTCCCTCAAGAGGCACAAAAGCAGTCTGTGTGACTCACCCTCTCCTGCCACAGGACCACAGTCACCGCCCAGCTCTTGAGGCTATGACTGTTAGGACATCTGTTATGGTTTGAATGTGAAATGTCACCCATAGACACCGAGTCCAAACATCTGGTCTCCAGACAATGGCACTGTTTGAGAAAGTTGGGGAATATTTTGAAAGTCAGCCCTTGCTGAAGAAGCCTGTCACTGCGGGCAGGCCTTAAGGTATAGTAAGCCAATTCTACCTCCTGACTGCTTACCCAATGTGACCACCGTACCTCAGCATGCCTCCCCACAGGATGGACTGCAGCTCCTTCAACTGTGACTCACATGGTGGGAAAAACTGACTCCCGAAAGGTGTCCTGTGATCTCCACACGTGTGTAGCATGTGCACATGGACATACATGCATGCATACACATACAAATAGATGTAATAATTTTTAATAAGTGAGCCCCAGCAAAACCTTTGCTCCATAAATTGCCTTTGCCAGGTCTTTTGTCACAGCAATAAGAAAAGTAACTTAAGCTGGGTGTGGCGGCGCACACCTTTAGTCCCAGCATTCCAGAGACAGAGGAGGGCACAGCTCAGAGAGCTCAAGGCCAGCCTGGTCTACAGAGCGAGTTCCAGGACAGGGCTACGTAGAGAAACCCTGCCCCCCCCCCAAAAAAAAGAAAAGGAAAAAAATAACTCATATGAAGACTGTCCTGCTCATCCAATACATGAACAACATCATGCCATTTGGACTGGGGAAGGGGGTAATTCTCAAAGGAGCAGTAAGGCCAACAGCAGAGGTGGGGATCTAAACAACAGTCATTTCTTTTTGTCTTTTTATTGGGGGGGGGTTGTTTTTTGAGACAAGGTTTCTCTGTATAGTCCTGGCTGTCCTGGAATACACTCTATAGACCAGGTTGGCCTCAAACTCAAAAAAGATCTGCCCGCCTCTGCCTCCCCAGTGCGGGGATTGAAGGTGTGCGCCACCACTGCCCAGCCTCCGGTCATTTATAACCGTCACTGCCAAGGAAAATGCACTTTGTGGTCCCACAGCAATCAGTCCCTCTCAACACTGAAGGACCCCATGAAGGTCCAACCTCAACAACCAGCTTCCTCTGGACTTCCTGAGCCAGGGCACCATTGACACATGGAAGGGTAACAGAAAACGGGAGGACGGCGGGGGAGGTGGTTCTGGGGCAAAGAGAACATTTACCGCTCATCCAGAGGCCCCAGTTCAGCTCCCGGCAGGCGTCCACTGCCTGTAATTCCAGCTCTAGAGGATCCCACGCCTTCCTCTGGCCTCCTGCACACAGGGTGCATATAAACTCACATAGGCACACACATGCAAATAAATAATAAAATCTTTTCAAAACGAGGAGGCAGAAGGGAAGAGGGGAGAAGGAAGAAGAAAGCAAAGGGGGGAAAGGGAAGACAGGAGCTAGCTTCTAGTAGTCAGAAAACCCCTCCGATTGCCCGGAGTGAGATTCAACTCCTTCTGAATGAACAGAGACTGAACTGGCATCAGGAGTGAGACATCTTTATTTCACACTTGCAGGGTGTAGTGGCATCAGTGTTTACAAAGATTACAACCACAGGAATATGACACAAAACGTAACTCCAAGCAACCATACTGGATGTTCAGGCTCCCTCAAGTCCCCGCCCCTACCATACACATAATGCGCAAATATTAGAGGATTTTTTAAAAAAGGCAGTACACACAAAACACCCTTAGGCCAGTCCTCCTCAAGAGTCCAACAGTGACCAGTGTGGGTTTCTTATTTCAGTTATCAGCCTCTTTAAAAAACAAAACAAAACATTAACAGTAACAGTACAGGTATCAACGGGTAACTTGAACATCTCCTCCAAGAGTTCTAGTCCTCAGGGCTAAAAATGAATATATATCTGCATCCCTTGTGCAAGTTCCTGGACTTGAACAAAGAGTAAAAGCAGCCTGGTGACATCACAGGTGAAGGGTCACAACTTGGCCTCCAGGTCTTTTGGGAGAAAGCTGGGAAATTCCTATCTCCACAAGCCCTGTCAACTCACCCTAGGGGCCTGTGGAGCTCCGGGTGGGAATACCTCAGCTCCAGGTTGGAAAAACCCAGCTATCCACTAGCAACCCACGGCTGTGGAAAGGGAGGGGAGGTGGCTGGGAGGGCTTTGCACACCTAAGGCCTCTATAGTCCCTTATGGTCAAAGAGAAAGCCAACGGTGATTCCAGCTGACCAGAAGCTCAGAGGCTGCTGTGGTCCATACATCACTTCCCAAGGACTGGGGAAGAGCAGCAATTGAGGTCCATGGTGACAATACCCCAAGGAACAGATTTACAGATACCTGCTCTACCCCACATCTCTATTTATTAATTTTGTTTATTCATATACGTCTTGTGTTAAACTTCTTTTTTTCACATTTCAAAGGTCTGGCTAAAAAGAGGACAGTGCTACGGGAGAGGCAGAGGACAGCAAGAGGGAGGACACAGAGAGCAATGAGCACCTTGGGTCTGGATCCTGACCTTCCTGTACTCCTGACCAGTGATCAGCTTAGTCTCAGTGGGGAAATGGAGAGACAAATGTATAGTCTTAAAAAATAAAACTAGGAAGCTGGAGAAAGGGCTCAGTGAGGACCCGAGTCGGGCAACTCAAAACCATTTTTAATTCCAGCTCCAGGCCTTTGGCTTCCTCAGGCACCAGCACTCATGTGCACACGCCCACGTGTAAGACACGAAGACCTACACATGATTAGAAATAAAAACAAATCTTAAAAAAAAAAAAGGTTGAGTAAAGGCATGTGGCATCAAGCTGAAAAATTCCAGAGACCCACACGGTAGGAGAGAACTACCTTCTGCAAGCTGTCCTCTGACTTCCATATCAGCACTGTACACGAAAACATACACACAGTTGTATACATACACACGAACACACACTTGTATACACACACAAATTAATTTTAAAATATACATTACATAGTCGGGTGGTGGTGGCATACGCCTTTAATCCCAGCATTCGGGAGGCAGAGGCAGGTGGATCTCTGTGAGTTTGAGGCCAGCCTGGTCTACAGAGTGAGTTCCAGGACAGCCAGGGCTACACAGAGAAACCCCATCTCGAAAAACCAAACCAAACCAAACCAAACAAAATAAAATACACAAAAAACAAAAAACACATTAAATAAAAATGCCCTCAATTATTTTCATCTACTTCTTTGCATACATGTGTAAGAGGAATGTTTCCTACTTAAAGAGACATAGCACACACAACATATGGAACTTATTCAGACTTTGTTTCAAACAAAAAAAATTGTAAAAAGACAGTTCCTTGAGAAATCAGAGAAAGAACTGGGCATGGTGCTGCATGCCTTTCATTCCAGCCCTCAGGAGGTAGAGGCAGGAGGATCTCCTAGAGTTTTAGGCCAGCCAGGGATACCTATTGAGACCCTGTCTCCAAAACAAACAACAACGAAACCAAAACAAACACGAGAACAGAGATCAATGAAATAATAACCAGAAAAAAAAAACAGCACAAAAGGAAAAGCAAAATAGATATTTGGCAACACCACAATCAACAAACCCTTAGCTACACTCCAGTGACTGAATTTAGAAAGGAAGAGGGGACACTGCAACTGGTACCCCAGAAATAAACATGACGGTAAGAGAATGGACATGGTAGCACGTGTCTGTAATCCTGAGAGTCAGGGGGCTGAGGCAGGAAGAGTGTGAAGTTCAGGGCAGCCGGCTCCTTAGTGAGACCAGTCAGGGAGGGAAGGAGGAAGTTCCACAAACACCTGTGACCCAGGCATGCTGCAGAACCCGGAGGCAGGAAGGGAGTGAAGAAGGAAATAATCTATTATGACCAGAGCAGGAGGAGAGAGAGGAGCTGAGAACAGACTAGCTGTTTCTCTTTTATAAGGAAGCATCATCTCTTCAGAGAATATTCATATTATTGTGTGTGTGCCATGTAATCTTTGTGTTATGTGTGGGCACACACCTGGCACAACATACATGGGGAGGTCAGAGGACCGTTCTGTGGAGTCAGGTCTCTCTTTCCACCATGGGGTTCCAGGGTTGAACTGAAGTCAGGTTTTGTGGGGCTGTCACCGCTGAGCCACCTCACTGGCTCTGATCACAACTTTTCCTTTCTCTGCTGATCCTGAGACTGAGCCCAGGGCCTCATTTCGCAAGGCAAGTTCTCTACCATTGAGTTGTAATCCCACCCCCTCTGTTAACAGGAAAGTTTGATGAAACAGAGAGTTAGAGAGGATGAAGGAGCCAGGGGTAGTGACACACGCCTGGCATCCAGCTCTTGGGAGGCAGAGGCAGGAGGATAGCTGTAAGTTGAAGACCATCTGGCATACATGGCAAGACCCTGCGCATCGAAGAAAAAAAACAAAGAACAGAATGGATGACATGCACAGGGGCCACAAGGCGACGGTATCAACCATGAGACCCAGGGTGGCCAAAGATAACGTCATCAAGCCTAGTATAGGGCCCTGAAGAGAAAGACCCAGAGATCACGGAACCAGTAAAAATAACAAGAATGATGGGAGTCGAAGAGCTCCTGTGGCACAAGATGTCAAAACCACTCTGGTGAAAAGTAGAACAGAGAGGCCGGTCACGACCCCAAAAGGGATCGAGTCGCCAGAAATGAAGAACAAAGCGACCTTCGTGAGGCTGGAGGGTGGAGGGGTGGTGCCCAGCAGGTCTGGAAGAGCTGGGGCTGAGTGGTGGCCTCTCCTAGGATCCCATCAATAATAAATCGTGGTTTTTACAAAGTCTCTCCCAGGGCACTGAAATCCTGCGGGAGGTGGGAGGGGGACGAGACTGTCAGTTTCATGACAAAGCTATTTCTCTCTCTCTCTCTCTCTCTCTCTCTCTCTCTCTCTCTCTCTCTCTCTCTCTCTCTTTTTTTTCTTCAAGACAGGGTCTCGTGTAGCCCAGGATGGCCTCGTGTAGCCCAGGATGGCCTCATGCTCACTAGTAGCTTTGAACTTTCTAATTGTCCTGTCTCCACCCACTGAGTACTGGGGCTACAGGTGTATAATGTTTTTAAAAACTGATGGTCCACTGTCAATGCCTTATCTGCTGGGAGACAAGGATGCTTGAGTAGCCTCCTGCACCCCCCAGACCCTGTCACACCAGAAGGACAAGAAGATGAAGAAGACGGGGGTGGACAAAGCAAGTGTGCACAGGACACTCAGCACATGACAGGAAGGAGCTCTCAGTAGGTACCACACGGACATCTGGACTCGGTTGGTGGGCAGCGTGCCACCCACTGACAGGCCCCAGGCCTGGCTGCTCCAGAGACTCTTCACTCTCCAGGCACACTCCTCAGCAGGCCTCTGAAGAGCACTAAGTGCCCACACTTTTCCAGCAAAGCAGCCTTGAGGTAGATACAAGAATTACACCATTTCGGGGCTGAAGAAAGCCAAGAATCTAGGAGGAACGGTCACTCACTGTCGTTCATCAACTCTCCCTCACAAGCAGCAGGAAGCTCCTCTCCAGGTAGAGGGCATCTGTCTGCACCTCCTTCCAGAGGCCTCTCGGCCCTGAGTCTAAGCTACCCAGGCGGTCCTGAGCACATCTCAATGGCTTTCCGCTATAAGAAGAACAAAGTCTCTCTCTCGCCCCTGGCAAAGGCTAGACCAAGAAATCTAGGCAGGGCACAAATAGCTCCCTTTGTCTCTTTTCTTTCTTTCTTTCTTTCTTTTTTTTTTAAGATTTATTTATTATGTATACAGTGTTCTTCCTGCAGGCCAGAGGAGGGCACCAGATCTTATTATAAATGGTTGTGAACCACCATGTGGTTGCTGGGAATTGAACTCAGGAGCTCTGGAAGAGCAGCCAGTGCTCTTAACCCCTAAGCCATTTCTCCAGACCCACTTTGTTTTTCTTGTGGGTCTAGAAATCCTAGGGATGACCGTGTGCTTCTGTGGCCAAAGGCCAGGGTAGAGGGATTTGAATTCCCCCATCAGGTAAGACCTGTCATTTCGTAGCCAGGGCCTGAAGGAACCTGCAGGGGCAGAGCTGGATCACAACCATATTGGCTTCAGTTTTCCTATGGGTGGTCAAGAAACATCAGCTTCTCACCAAAAACAAACCAAAAAAACAGACCCAAACCTGGGGTGATGGTTGGTGGGGGTGAGGTGGTTCCAAGCTCCTGACTCATTCAACAGACGGCCTCCCCCCAGCTAGCCATGAATGAACTGAAGCCAGCCTCAAACACGCAAACCACTGAGGGGAACATGGGGCTCTAGGGCCTTGTTTAATGTTTATCTGTGCTTAGAATCCTGAATTCACCATGACCAATAAAGCTACTTAACCATCGGACCATAAAATGAACTTTCAGAAGGACTTAGCTCCCCCTTTGTATGTATGTGTGGATATGCGCGCGCACGCGTGCGCGCACACACACATACACACACACACACACACACACACACGCACGCACACACACTCACACACACACACTCCTTCTCTCTCCCTCTACCTTACATACAGTTTTGTTTTGTAACTCCAAGTCGGGCACATTTGAGTTCCAAGTAGACAAGCACTCTGGTACTGCGCCACACTCCCAGCCTTCAAACACACCCCATCACATCCCGTGTCCCTTCCTCACCCTGAACACAGAAGCAGCCTGTCCTTATTATCCTTGGTTTCTGCATCCAAGAGGACACAGAGCAGGGTTCAGAGCCGCGGAGATCTCAAGAGATCGCGGAGTCATCACCCACCAGAACTCCCATGACTGCTTCTCCAGCCACCAAGCCAAGCAATCTGAACGCCTCAAGGTCCAGACGGGAAGGGCCCTGTGCTCTGGTGGTTCTGCTGATGTCAACAAAGGTGAACTCGATGCACAGAGGGAAGGTCACCCGACTTCAACCTGGTCCCTGCCCAAACCAACTGTCTCTAGACCAAGAAACGTCAGAATCCACCCAAGTCCTAACTAGGATTAAACCCACAGGAGACAAGGGTTCTTGTTCCTCCCTGAGTCTGAGCAAGAGGTGTCCTTTCCTACCACCCCACCCTCTGCACAAGGGCCCTTCTCTACCGAAGCTGGAAAACAAACGCGTGTTCGCATTTACGTGGCTGAGTGAACTCACAGGTGAACTACCAAAAAGCAATGGATTTTCTAGAGTTTAACCAGCCTGAACTTGCCAGGTAGCCCCACTGCAAATCACTGATCCCAGCAGGCTGGGGCCAAAGGGTGCTGACAAGGCTGGGCCGGAGCAGGAGATGGACAAAGGTGCTGAGCAAAGACAAGGCAGGGCAGGGCCGCTGGGGCAGGCTTAGGGAGCCCGCCACAGGATGAGTTCTGTGATTTCTGCCCTGCTCCCCAACCTCATGGGTATCCCATAGTAGGCTGTGCCCGGACTGACGTACACAAATGTAGCCTGGCCCACTTGGTAGAGACCAGCAAAGAAAGGGTTCAGAAGATAGGCTGCAACATTCCAGGGGAAGATCTGCCCGGCGTGAGTGTGTCCGGAAAGGATCAAGTTTATATCTGGCCGTGCCTGGAGGGCCCTCTTGGCAGCCAGAGGCTGGTGAGCCAGCAAGATGGTAGCATCATCCGGACTGCAGCCCTCCAGAGCCTTGTCAAGGTCCATGCCATGGCCTGAGTAGTGAAGGATGTCTGCTTCTATGTCATCCACGCCCGCCAAGCAGATCCACTCCGTGTCGGCCCCACGGCCGTCCTGGCCCCTGGGGGCGGAAATCTTCACGTTCTCATTATGCAGGGGCCGAACACGCAAGGATTCCAGCAGGGTGAACCAGTTGCTGACATCTGACGTGTAGTACTCGTGGTTACCCGTGACGAAGTAGGTGCCAAGACGGGAACGGAGCTGGCCCAAAGGGGCAACTGCCGTCTGCAGGATGGAGGCTTCCGAATCGGAGAGGTCCCCCACGATCACTGTGATGTCCGGCTCCAGCGCGTTCACCATCCTCACAAACATCTCCATCTTGGTCCTGCCCACCGTGGGCCCCAAGTGAATGTCCGAAAGGAGCACTATCTTGAGGTTATTCAAAGAGGGGGGTAGCTGGTGGATGGGCACCTCCACGGTTTTCACCACTGGGGGCTGGGCAGCATTCAGGAGGCCAATGGTACTGAGCACAGCTGTCACTGCCACGGCCAGGGCAGGCCTGAGCACCAGGTGCCTTGTCTTGTCAAGGCTGCCCACCACCCTACCGCTGCGCCAGGCTAAGAACTGGTAGGCCTGCTCCATGGCGTTCAAGATACAAAGGAAGAAAACCATGATGATGTAAGCACCCAGGCAGGAGTAGGCTGCTAAGGAAAACACGTGAGGTTCCTCGGCCACCAAGAAGAGCATGGTGAAAAAACTGGAATGTGCCAGGACCAGGAACGCCATGACAACCAGCTTCCAAAGCTGGAAACAGGTCGAGTCCACGGCAGGGGAATGGCTGAGGTTGCTTACGGTGCTCCGCCAGATGTACAAGGAACCAATGAGCATGAGCGAGTTGACAAACAGGGCCAGCTGCAGGCGGAACAGCCAGCGCCAGGCCTGGAGCTCGAGGGCCTCAGCCAGAAAGGAGCGGGAGAGGATCATGGACACGAAGACAGTGGCTGCCGCCAGGGCAGCCTTGGAACCCAGGGACAGCTGCCTGAAGAGGGCCATTCTCTCAGCTCACGAAGAGTCCCCAGCAGCTCAGGCAGGTGGACTCTGGAAGGCAAGCGACTTCTTTAGAAAGGACAGTGGCCAATGAGAGACTTCCAGATCAGCTCCGCCTGCAACCAGGAACTGGCATCAGCTTTATGGGAAAGATCATTAAAACATTCTCGTCCCCATTCAATAAAGGACCAGAGACCACTCACACAGCTCCTGCCTGCCTCAGATCCAAGCCACTCAAATACCAGTTGCTTGCTATGCTTCCTTATTAAAATATGCCACAATCACGACAGGACGCGCGATGGACAGTTTTAGTTTGCTCTTTCCTTCTTTCTGTTCTTTCGTGACAGGTCTTGTGTAGGCCAAGCTGGCCTAGAAGCCATAAAGTAGCCAAGTATACCTTGAACTTCTGATCCTCCTCCTTTCACCTAACAAGTGCTGGGGTTATAGGTGTGCTCTACCACAGGCAGGTGCTTTATGTGGTTCTGACGATGGAATCGAAGGCTTCCTGCATGCTGCACAGGCATCCCACCAGCCAGGCCTCAGTTTCCATCGTCTTAACAGTGTTTCTTATTTTAAAGGTTCCCCTCAAGGGGTATGAATTGTTGCCTTTTCTGAATAATAGGAGAAACATTCTAAACGATCAGTTGTCAGCGTGAAGTCTAGGGAATGCCTCTCCTTGAGTCAAAACCACTCTCATGAGCCTGGCGGTGGTGGCGCAGGCCTTTAATCCCAGCACTCCGGAGGCAGAGGCAGGCAGATCTCTGTGAGTTCGAGACCAGCCTGGTCTACAAGAGCTAGTTCCAGGACAGGCTCCAAAACCACAGAGAAACCCTGTCTTGAAAAACAAAACAAAACAACAACAACAAAAAACCACTCTCGTAACAATATTAAACCGTCACTGCCTTGCCATTCTCTCTTCCAGTGAGTGCACAATAGAGTTTTGCAAAGACCACCAACATGTGAGTTCCCTGCAGACTGCAAATTTCAACAGAAAACGCTGAGTTCTAGGGATGGGGTGTAGCTGAGCTCTGGGGATGGGGTGTAGCTGAGGAGCTGGTAGAGTGAGGAGCACGAACAAAGCCCTGGGTCCCATCCTCAGCACCACATAAGCAGGCATGGTGGTGCACACCTCTGTCCCCGGCATTTGAGAGGTGAGGACAGAAGGATCCGAAGTTCATGGCTGTGTCTGACTACACACCAAGTTAGAGGCCAGCCTGGGCTTCATGAAACCCTGTTATTAAAAATAAAAGAACGATGCAGGGCGATGGTGGCGCACACCTTTAATCCCAGCACTCGGAAGAGGCAGATCTCTGTGAGTTCGAGACCAGCCTGGTCTACAGAGCTAGTGCCAGGACAGGCTCCAAAGCCACAGAGAAACCCTGTCTCAAACAAACAAACAAACAAAAAAAGAATGGACTAACTACGACCCTGTCTGAAAACTCTGAGATACTTTTTTCATACAATGTATTTTGTTCAACTGATTTATGGCTTCTTAAGAAAGTACACATTTTATGGCCTTTAATGCCAGCACTCTGGGAAGCAGAGCCAGGCAGATCTCTGAGTTCGAGGTCATCCTGGTCTACAGAGTGAGTTCCAGGACAGCCTGTTTGAAAAAAAAAAAAAAAAAACAGAAAAAGAAAGTACACATTTTAACTCATCGTCTAGGACTAAAGTTGAGAATTAATGTTGCAAATGCAAAAAAATAAAAAAAAAAAGAAAGTTGTCGACTGTTCTTTTCCTTTGGCTCTAGTCTAACAGGTCAAGAGGGTACCTAGATTCCGATGAGACAGCAGCCTCTGCAGGGGCCTCTCCCAGGGCATCTTACCTGGCATCTCCTACTTCTCACCTGGTGATTTACAGTTAACTGATGACCTCCATAAATCCTTATCTCTTCCCGCCCTTACTGATACTAAAGGAGTTCCGCCCTCTACCCTACCCGCTGCCCTCAGCCTAGGCTCACGGGTTCTCAAGGACGTCGAGCTCGGCTGGAGCAGCAGGCACACTCAACTAGCCGTAAATGAAAGCAGTCTCGGCAACTATTTTCCAAAATCTTAAAGTTTCACCGCTGGTTTTAGATAAACGTGTGCCATTTCCAAGAATGTAATTTTTACAAGGCTCAAAGTCTACTAACTTGCACTTTAACTTACCCCCGCCCCTCGCTCCGACTCAGTCCATATGGAGGGCCCCACGCTTATTCGGTCTAAGTGCAAAAAAGCTGCAGCCGCGTTCTACCTCGCACTGTCCCCTTCACAGGTTCGGTGCGGACCTCCCCAGGTGCGTGTCCAACGCACCCCAGCCACTCACCGCCCCCCCCCACGCCGCCAAGATCTCGCCTGAGGCAGTTTGACTCTTCCCACCCTCTACCCTAAAAGAGGAAAGGCTTCCAGCAAAGGTGATGAAACACCCCAAACTAAAAGCAGCCAGCAGGTGGCTAGCGAGAAGCGGACAAGATATTTGAGAAGGGAAAAAAGCAAATATTTCTGTGACCCCACTGCAGGAGCCTCTCCTGACCCCATTTTTCTCCTTCCGGAGCGCTCCGTGAAGCCCGAACTCCGCAAGGATCGCACTCCGCGCCACGGCCCGCGGAGCCCTCCCGCAGCCCCCCGCGCAGCCTGGAGCCCCTCTCCCCAGAAACCGAAGCTGGAAAGCTGCGGGCGCACCTCAACCTAGCCCTCGATCGCGTTGCACAAACGGGGAAGCAAGTCCGCGCGCAGGACACAGCCGCAGCGGAACCCACGCGCGCCAGCAACCAGGAAGGACGCGCGCCCCGCCCGGCCGCCGGTCCGCCCCCTACGGGAGGCCTGGCCACTGCCTGCGCCTCGGCGGCCTGCCTGCTCTGAGGGGTGATCGAAGGTCCCCCGGATTCCCGCTTTGCAGAGCCACGGCTCTCCTCGGCCTCTGGCCGCTTCCCAGCGGCGAAGCGTCCCCGCGCGGTGGCACCGAAGACTTACATAGACACGGTGCGCAGAGCCCAGCAGCAGCGGCGCCAGTAGCAGGAGCAATGTGCACAGCGGGACCCGGAACATGACGGCGATCGGCAGGGATCTCTCCACTCGGCCGGGGGTGCCCTGGCCAGCCGCTGCACCTCCCGGGGGGCTGAGGACCCTCAGCCTGGACCCGCCCCAGGAGGACCCGCCCCCAGCTCCGCCCCGCTCCGCCCCGGGGCTCTTGGCTAGGAGTGGAGACCCAGCCTCTCCTGGCCACGTGACTCCGGAGCAGCTGTTGTTTAATCATTTCCCGCATCTGAATGGCAGCTCCCCAGAATCAGCCTTGGTTAAGCGCGAGGGTTAGTGATCCACGAGGGCCTTCAGGCTGTCCCGGCTACCAGGGAGGAGATGGACAGGGAAAAGGAAAACAGCCAGTCCTCGGTGCTCCGGGCAGTAGAAGCCTAGCCCGGTAGACCCTCCCTAGCACGTGATCTAACCCTCACGAGGTGTGGTCCACAGGCCACGCAACTAAAACCTGGAAAAGGCGCGCTCTGGTCCCCAGCCCCCGTGCCCTGACACACACAGACTCTAGGACAGGACCCAGCTCTGAGTTTCAGTGCACGCTAAAGTTGGAGAAGCGCTGCGCTAGGTTCCTGAGGAATTCTAAGTGTGACTCAGCTAGGGTGAAGTTATTTTCAACTGCCAGCCTCAGGCTGCCTTGAATTTTAGTGGCGAGAACAGCAGCACTTCCCGCCGGTCACTTCTGTTCTACCGCCTCCCGTTTGCTGGAATTAGTCATGTGCTACCTCCCCTGGTTTAAGTGAAGTTGATTTAAATGTGCAGACGTAGGATTTCCCAGCTTTAATCAGTTGTCATTTCTAACAATATTCATTTATTTTAAGCACCGTCTCATTTTTATCTATCTATTTTTGCAGTGCTGCGGGTGGTGGTCACAGGTCCTCACTAATGCCAGGCAAGTACTCTACTGTTGGGCCATACCCCAAATCCCTAGTTTATTTCTTTATTTCCTTGTGTTCTTTTATTTATTTATTTATTTATTTATTTATTTATTTATTTATCTGAGACAGCTTCTCACTATGTATCCTCTGACCTTCACATGTACACCATGGCTTAGTCATGGACACACATAAATACACACATGAACATATATAGAGAAATATACACTATATGAATAAATAAATATCCTAAGTAAAGCTGGTTTCTAAATTTAAGTTTTTAAAAACAGGATCTCAAGTAGTACAGACTGTCCTCAAACTTCCTACAGTTGTTGTTGTTGTTTGGGTGTATAAGACAGGGTCTCTGTTATGTAGCTCTGGCTGCCCTGAAACTCTCTATATGGAACAGGCTGGTCTTGATTAAGGGTGTGTACCACCGTGTCCACTCTCACATTCTATTTTGATAATAAATGTGCCGCTAAGTTACATGATTGACAGAGGAGCATTTAAAGTCCTCGTCATTTTCGCACCCGGATCTCTAGTTTGGCCATTACAGTTAGTTCTATCCTGGGAGTGGTATGGTGTCTCCCCCTGGTAATCATGATGCTGCAGAGGCTGAGGTGGGATTGTCACAAATAGGAGGCTAGCTTGGGTTACATGTCACTTTAGATAGACATCCCTAGACCCGATGTCTCTTCTTAGTAATTTTCCACACATGAAGCCCCTCACTCACATGCTGGCTGCATGTTCAGAGTTGTATGCTCTGCTTGGGGACCAGCAATGGTGTCAACCCCTATTTCTTCTCTTTTCTTTTTCCTTTTTTTTGGGGGGGGGGAGGGGTGGTTTTAGAGACAGGGTTTTTCTGTAACTTTGGAGCCTGTCTTGGAACTAGCTCTTGTAGACCAGGCTGGCCTTGAACTCACAGAGATCTGCCTGCCTCTGCCTTCTGAGTGCTGGGATTAAAGGTGTGCACCACCACCACTGCCAGGCTTCAACCCTTATTTCAACAGCTGAATAAAGTCTTCCTTTAATCTTTTTTTTTTTTTTTAAAGACAGGATTTCTCTGTGTAGCCCTGGCTGTCCTGGCTGTAGACCAGGCTGGGCTCACTCTCAGAGATCTGCCTGCCTCTGCCTCCTGAGTGCTGGGATTAAAGGCATGTGCTGCTACTGCCCAGCTTCTTCAAATTTTGATGTGCAAGAATAAACTTTCCTTGGGGCCAGGGTGATGGCACAGCAGGTTAAGACTCTTGCTGTGAAAGTCAGTGGAAAGAAATGGTTCCACCTAGGTCCAGCTTGGTAGATCACTGATTTTTACTGGGGTTCATTAGAGGAGCCTGGGTGACTCAGAGTAGCTACATTAGAGAAACACACCACCCTCACATGGTTGTGGAATGTGTCACAGGGTCTTGACCCCTCAACCTTCCTCTTCTTATACACTCAGCATTCCCCAAGATCATCAGCAGACGGGTGCGGGGAGGAGTGGCGGCAGGAATCCCAGGTGAGGGGGGGGTCTGGTGACCCTCTCCCCAGACCCATGATGATCACATCGCACCTGTCACTGCCTTGCTCATTTTGTTCTATGGCTGCAAGACCCAAGTAGTGTTTGGTCCCCTCAGCAGCTTCTGCTTTCTGGTGAAAAGGAAACGGCACCACAACCCTCCACCCCTTCCTCCACGTCTACCGCCTCTTCAGTCATGTTCTGTCTTTGAGGGGGTGATATATGTATGATTCTTTCCTAAGCCCTGGGACTCGACACCAAAACAATGTCTGCTTGCTTATTCCCACCGGCTCGACTGGTTATGAATCCCTAGTCACATCCACCTGTACCAGAAAAGAGTTTCCCTGGACCTCAGCTGAATGTAGACACAAACACACATCCGTTCACCGAAACAACAGCCTTAGCCTCCCGCCGGTGCCTAAGACGAGCCAGCCACAGAGTTTGGTCCTGACACACAGGACCTCTGCAGTGGGTGGGGCTTTAAATCCAACCAGTCAGTAGTTGATGGTCATGACTTTACTGCAAGTAGAATAAATATCTTGTGGTGGTGAGGGGGATCTCCAACTGAGCGGGACCGAAGGCAACAATCATTCTCAGCAGCCGGCATAGCACCTTCTGGTACTGCATATGTCGGTCATCAGGAAGGAAGCCTCCAGCTCTGCCCCAGCTTGACGTCTCTGTGCCCTTCCACTAGAGGATATACTGTTTGGGCAATAAAGATTTCTCATCCAGCTCTGGTCTACAGCCACCGACAATGGCAATGGTGTTTACTATAAGTCCCTACGTGCCTTCCTGGCCAGCATCTTGCAAGGTTTTAATCCTCCCTTTCCTGGGATTTTCACCTAACATCCTGTGGCTTCCGGGAGTGCCTTTTCTCATGTTTAAAATTACTTCATAGGTAATTTGCCTGCATGTATGTCTTCTGTGCACCACTTGTGTGTCTGTGGCCTGCAAAGGCCAGATGAAGGTGTCAGATTTCCCAGAGCTGGAATTACAGATGCTTAAACCTCCATGTGGATGCTGAGACTCGAACCTTAGTCTTCTGCAAGAGCAGTCAGAACTTTCAAATGCTGAACTTTCTCCAGTCCCCTTTCTCACTTAAAAACTACAAAAGAATCCCATATTGTTGCGTTTATGCATTTACTTGTGCGTGCGTTCGTGTGTGTGTGTGCGCGCGCGCGTGCATGTGTGTAGGTCCATATATGCCAAAACACACATGTGAAGGTCAGAGGACAACTTGTGGTAGTGAGTTCTCTTCTACCATGTAGGTCACAGGGATCAAACCCAGGTTGTCAGAGTTGGCAGGACCTGACCTAGTGAGCTGTCATGCTGGCCCCACAGAAAGGAAAATACCAGCACAGGATCCCTAGGACCAAATTCTCAGACGAAAGGAGATTCATTTGCTGCAGAGAGACAGAGGGTAGGGATAAGGGACAAAGACTGGAGATAGAGGAAGAGGGAGAAGGGAGCAAGGGAAAAGGGGCAGAGGTATTTGTCCCAGAGAACAAAGAACTGCCCCTGGATAGAGAGGAGAGAGGCACCCACTTTTTAAAATTTATTTTTCTCCCATAGAGAATCTCACTCTATCCCAGACAGATCTGAAAACTCATCATATGACTCAGGCTGGATTCAAACTCACGCTGATCCTCTGTACTCAGCCTCCCACATGCTGGGATTACAGACATGAGTCACCTGATCCGACTGTGCTCAGGCTCCCAAGTGCTGGGATTACAGGCATGAATCACCATGCCTGGCTCATTTTAAGCTCTTGTTTGTTTGGGGTTTTTGTTTCAGACAGGGTCTCACTGTGTGCTTTGGGTGGCCTGGAACTCACAGAGACTCCCCCCTGCCTCTGCCTTCTGAGTCCTGGGATTAGAGTGTGCCAATATGCCTGGATCAGTTTTGAACAACTATTGATTTTCATTGTTCTTTTAGATGTCTTTTCAATTATATATTTTTTACTAAGGGTAGAATCCTGAGGCCCACTGTTCGTTCAAGCAAGTATGAAGTGGACTTGGGATTCAGTAGCTGAAAGGATTTTACACATACACACACACACACACACACACACACACACACGGTCCAAGACAGCATAAAGAGATCCCATCACACTGACTGTTTTGTCAGCATGTTAGGTACAGTGGCTCGGGAGGAGCACGGCTCATTTCGCTCTCCATTATCTGTGGTCATTCACCATGGGCTGTCTGGGGTCTCCGTTGTCCGCACTTGACATTTTAAAGGGCTTTGGCTTAGACGAATAATCTCTCGCCTTGCAGGCTGTCATTTCCCCAACCACACAAGATTGGGTAAAATGGTCTAACGGTGGCGTGCAGGATGTGGTCAGCGGGACACTCACCTCCAGCAACTGAGGACCACACACACCATACTCTTAGACATGGTGCTAAGGGACAAGCATAACCTGGTCATCGGTAGCATCCTATTTCCACATCCGTCCCCTGCTGTCTTTGGTGCTTTGGGGTACCACGAATTAAGGCTCACCTAACCCCAACCTTGACTGAAGCTCCAAATAGTCTGCACGTTATTAGCAGGGAACAAATAAATCTGCAGTCCAATGTGGAACCGCTGGGTGGTCCCCACCTCGTGAGACCTGCTTCTCTGCACACCATCACTGCCAGTTCCTGCTGGCCACCTCTCTGGTGGACCCTTCAGGCTGTACAGGCTTCCAAAGGCTACCAGACAGCTCTTAGCTTT